CATAAAGTAAATGGGTTGTCAGCTAATTTCAAATTTGAATTAGGCTGACAATAAATTTCTTCTTCTGAATCAGAGTCAAATATAGTACCAATTTGAGTCCTATTTTTCCTTAAGACATTAAAATCTGGAGGTATCTTCCCCAGCATTCGATACTCTCCTGAGCTGTTCCTGATTCCATAACAAAAATATGTCAGCAGCCCTGAAATTAAAAGGTGACGATAATTCAAAATGTTTCACTAACACAAAAATAAAAATGTATCAATTAGTTTTGAAAGATATAAATATCATCATTAATCATAAATATATATATTTTGAAAAAAAAAAAAAAAAATTCAGGTCTTACCATTGTTATTCATCTTCGAAATTGGGTTCCACTAAAGCAAGCCCAGAGCAGCAGAACAAGCTTTCTGAACAATTATAGGTGATGGCAGTTAGGCTGAGACACAGTGAGGTTGTCATGCCACTCTCATGGACTACACACTTCATGCTCATCTAGACAGTACAGTAGTATCATGCAGAGGAGAGCAGAGTGGGGTTATATGGCTAAAGGTCAGATGACAGATACAATAAGGCACTATAGTTAGATAATAAAGTCTTGTTTCAACCATCAATAACCCTTAATGGCGGCTAAGCAAAGGACTCTGACACCCATATTTGCACAATGGAATACAAGGTACATGAAATGTTCACTGTTGATGGCCAACATCCCTACAGCTAACTTCCGCTGATGATGGCCACTGTCCCTACAGCTAACTTCCGCTGATGATGGCCACTGTCTTCCACAGCTAACTTCCACTGATGATGGTCACCGTCCCTACAGCTAACTTCCACTGATGATGGCACTGTCCCTACAGCTAACTTCCACTGATGATGGCACTGTCCCTACAGCTAACTTCCACTGATGATGGCCACTGTCCCTACAGCTAACTTCCACTGATGATGGCCACTGTCCCTACAGCTAACTTCCACTGATGATGGCCACTGTCCCTACAGCTAACTTCCACTGATGATGGCCACTGTCCCTACAGCTAACTTCCACTGATGATGGCCACTGTCCCTACAGCTAACTTCCACTGATGATGGCCACTGTCCCTACAGCTAACTTCCACTGATGATGGCCACTGTCCCTACAGCTAACTTCCACTGATGATGGCCACTGTCCCTACAGCTAACTTCCACTGATGATGGCCACTATCCCTACAGCTAACTTCCACTGATGATGGCCACCATTTAAGGGTAAAGTTATAAAGGACACACCATTAAGACACAGATTTCATATGAATCCATGACTGATATAGAGTACTAGAATAAAAAAACCTGCTAGTATGGCACAAATACACTTCTCACATAACTAATGTTTTAGTTACTCAGTTAATGCAGTATGGGAGTGACCACCACAGCAATGTTGCCTTTATATTTTGGTGAAAGGTCAAATGAGCACCAATCCTGATAAGCCACAACTTATGCTACCCAAACCCATTTTCTATAAATATCTTTACATCTCACTTCTGTGTTTGAAATAGAAGTTATGGGCTAAATTAGCTTGTCCTAAAGGGTCCTAATTCCAATCCAATGAAATTTATTTACTTTTTAGATGCAAATTGCCTTTTAACAACAATTTAATATAAGGTACAGTACTATAAACAACACATCCTCTCAAGTTGATCCATATGAAGAAGCAGACGTCGGAACAGAATAAGATCAAGAGGAGGTCTTCTCAGCTTAATGAGGCAACAGAAACTAACATGACTGGAGCTAGAACTTTCCTTTAAGGCTCAGAGGGGTTCAAACTGAATGAGCTGTGGGTTTCATCTTCTGACCCGAAGCACTGAGTCGGCCATCAGATAAAATGAACCTGAATATTTAATGATGTGAGAAAGTGCAGCTCACAATAAAAATTGTTCCACCTTGTCGATTTTGATACTGTACTGTGAAAAGAAAGTGGGTCCCATAGGTATGACTGCCCATTAGTGACAGTGTGGAACTGCATACTAAGCCTTTGGTATACAAGGAGTCAGCATGGTCAGTACTGCACTTGACTGTCTTCATTTCTCCAAGTTGTAAACTGAGGTACCCATTTACAGCTGGGTGAACTGGAAGTGGCCAAGAATTGAACCACCGACCCCCAGAAGAGAAGGCAATACTGTAACCTGCTGTAAAACATGTCAGGGACAGTACTCTGATAACAGGTAAGCTCTGACAGGGTATTGAGTGGCACTGATCTCACAGGGGTCTAATTGAACCTTCCAGTATGTTGGTAAAAAATTAAATCGGAGAACATACTGTACAGAGGAACTTCAAATGTCAACAAAAAACAGCAAACATTTGTTGATTGGGATGAAGTATAGTATATAGCTGGAATATTGGCAATAGTGGTAGATGGATAAGTACAAGAGCTCACACATCTAATGCAAGTGGTAGCAGTGGTACAGTATTATCATTAGTACAGTACTGTGGTGGTAAAATAGTACACAGGAACCTCACACAATTACTTATGAATAGACCATAACATCCATACAAGGCAGTGGTGGACTGTCAGGTGTAATAAACTTTGTGTATTCAATTCCCATACATTAAAAAAAAAGTTCCATCATCAAATATTCTACAGGAAGAAGATGAACTAAATGTAAGAGTAATCTACCAAGGCATCCTACCGTCTGGGTTATCCTTTCATCCCTGCCCTCATATTAAGTCATGTCTAAATGAACATGCATTGGAGATCATTAACATCACCAGCACTCACTGTTTTACAGTGTGGGTTAGCAGTGATTATCTGATGACATGGTGTCTTGGTTGTCATCAGGCAAATTTGAAACAAGTTTTATGGCTTTTACTGACACGAGCTTCACGGCTGGTGACAAACTATGGGGTCGTGTAGCTCGTGACCCCAGGCAGACAGTGGGCCTCTACCTATCTAAATACATATATGTACATGACAAAACTGATATAATGTGACTCCTGTGTACCAAAAGCAGAAGGAACTGGAAGTAAGGCAGTGGCAGTAGTAGTGGTGGGTGTCAGACAGTTACAGTAAGGGTTGAGAGCTACAGATACAGACCTAAATCTTGAGCAGTTTTTTTAAGAGACAATTTGCATTTATTATGTAACTCAAGTAAGAATAAGTTAAGCATTTATTTGTCAGTAATATGGATGTGGCTAAAAGATGAAACATTTGTTAAATTATTTATTGTTCATTAAAATACATAAGAGTATTGTCATCAATACACACCCAAAGAGTGAGAGTAAGAGTATTTCTGATGATAAAAACATCTTCACAGGGCAAGAGGAACAGGCTGGGAAGGATGGAGGGCAAGAGGAACAGGCTGGGAAGGATGGAGGGCAAGAGGAAAAGGCTGGGAAGGAAGGAGGGCAAGAGAAACAGGCTGGGAAGGATGGAGGGCAAGAGGAGCAGGGTGGGAAGGAAGGGAGGAAGGCAAGAATGAAAATAAGTGCACATAAGTGTCTCTAATGTTAAAACATACAATATTCATGTAGCTGGAGGGACTGGCAGACTGTTTCAGGAACCTCAAGATTACCAGTAATCTGCCTTTTTTATAAAAATTGTCAATACAGTACAGTAATATATTCAGAAACTTTACCTACGACTGTAAATATAGGAAATACCGTACTGCATTCTATCACATCTGGTAATCATATATCAAACATTATCACAAGAGTCAAGAACCTTCATCTACAACAAACTTAAGTGATGTAAATACAACATCTGAAGCAATGCAAAGATGAAAAGCTATGAACATTATCTACAACATAAGAACATTCAGTATAAGATATAAAATTCAATACAAAGTGTACATTTGAGAATCATAAATAAAATAAACTTATAGGTCAAGTACAGTATTGCTTTAACCACTTCTGTATAAACAGCAACAACACCCTTCCGTAAGACAGTTTTGCATACAGTACAGTACCACCCATAAAGAACTCACTGTAAGGCATTCTTCTCAAATACAGTTATCATAAAAACACAATTACAACACATTCAGGATTTTTTTAAGAATGTTTTCAGTTTCTTGTCCTTTAGATTTTATAACACACTGCTCAGTATAAATATACCTCTAATAAAAATGGTGCTTACTACTTGCCATATACAGTGGCCCCTCGATTAACGAGCGATTCAATGAACAAAATTTTGGCTAACGAATTAGCTCCCACAAGGATTTTCAATTCCATTAAAGAACAAAACTTTGATTAACGACAGCCTTATGAAAAACACACTTTGTTGTGCGCATCAGCTAATAGGATAGTCTGCCATTACAGTATGTGGTTCTGTCTACATTCATTTACAGTTGAGTAAATATCAAGAAAGTTGTGCTCTTGAATATTTTTGCATTTTTTATATTAAAATTCATGGTCATTCTGAAGTTAAGTAAACATATTGATAATATATATACAGTACAGGGAACAGTTTTTGTGTGCCAATCAGCTGATCAAATCACCCACCAACGCTTCTCAGTTTAACTTTGTTTACAGTGGAGTGAACATCCAGTTTGTTGGTCTCTTGATATTTTTGCATTTTTTACATTAAAATTATTGGTCATTCTGAAATTTAGTTAACATATTGATAATATAAAGTGTAGAAATTATTATGAAACATGAAGAAGGCATTAAAACCAGTGCACTCTGTAAAGATATGGCATGTCATCATCGACTGCCTCTACAATCAGCTGTTTGATATGTAAACAAAGCTGCCGGGAATATGACATACACACCTCAAAGTAAGTTAAAATGTAGCATTCTATTATTTATTATTTATTATTGTGCATTATACAGTACAGTACAGTACAGTACTGTATTTAGTTTATATTTAATGGTTTGTTAATTGTATTACCGGTATACAGTACAGTACTGTACTTTATATGTACTTTTTCTGTGAGTTGGAACCAATTACCCAATATCCCATTGAAATAATAGATTCAGTTAACGAAATTTTCGGTTAACAAACGACTCTGTGGAACCAATTGTGTTCGTTAATCGAGGGACCACTGTACTGCCATTAATTTGATCTTTTTTTTTTGTTAAATGATTCTTAGTACTGTAGCTACAAAACAGCAATTGTAAGAAAGAGTTCCTTAGGGGTAGTACAGTTACAGCACACTACAGATTAAGCCTGTTTTAGGTACAGAGAGACAGTGAGGCTGGCAATGTACTTGACTACTTTCACTTACCTAACTGTAAGGTTATTTACCCTTTCACAGTTGGGGTAAATTTGGGTTTCCTCAAGTGCAAATCAATGACACTCAGGAGAGGAGGCAAAGAACTGTACTGTATACACCAGGCCTCTGCACCCTTACCAAACACCTTTATTAGCTTATTAAAGCTTTCATTACATAATTCCTAATAATTGCCAATTAAGGCTATTGTGTCTATCAACATTTGTTAAATTATTTTAACAGATTGCATACTACCTGGCAATCATTAACCCAAGTTTATCTAAACCTCTGTATAAAATAATTCCCTATTTGTCAAAGACTGTCTAATTTATTATAAACAAATCTTGTTTGAAATTTTCCACTAATTATCAAACATTGCCTTTAGTTTTTTAAAACTACCGTATTAGTAGAGGAAACACTCTATGAATACCTCCAGTTTCATTATCTTGTAATTTTTCGTCTTTATCTCCTTTATGAGCATCATCCACAGGCATGCTCACAGGGTCTATCCTTTCAGTTGTTTTCTCATTCTCAGAAAGTTCATTTTGTTCTTTTGGCTTTTCTTCAGTTATGGATGATACCGGTTCACTTACCACCAAATCTCTATTTTCTTCAGTATGAATCTGTACATCCTCTGTTGAGTTATCCAATTTGTTATCAACCTAATTTTTTCCCAATAAATTTTCAGCAACTGAGTTTGTTTCAACAGATTTTTCAGAGATTGAATCTTTGATCTCTATTTTCTCTTCATCACCAGAAAATATTTTACTTTCCCCCCGTTCCCTTATAGTGTCAAGCCCCTCAGACAATAAAGATCCTTTGCTGAATACTTTCTTAAATTCCCTAGTCGGACTTGTTATGGTAGGACTAGGGAGGTCATCTATAAAGCTGCCAAAACTTGCTCCGGACAAGACACTTTCCAGGGAATCATCACTTCCCACAGTGAACATTTTGCGTTCATTATTCTCTTCTTTCTGGTCTTCACTTGCAGCCATTTCAGAATAACCTTTTAATTTAGAATTTATCTCATTCATCAGCGTTTTTTGTGCATCTGTCTGCTCTAGAAATGGGTCTTTCTTGTCACCCAGAGGACTCACAAGAGGTGATACCTGATTGCTGCTGTCATTATCAGAGCTACTGCCTGGCTCCTTAACTGGAATAATGACAAACTTGTTACCTAAACGACGAGCAAAAGGACTGTCTGGAGATGATGGTGGTATGCCATCAAAGCTAGAATTTCGCTTTAATTTTTTAAATGGGTGTCTTTGTGACACAGGTGAACTTGGTACACTACTGTGGAAGGATGGCAGGAGTGGTACAGAGTGGGAGCCTTTTAAAGCTGGACCATCTTCAGTTTTATTTCTAACTAATATATTATTATTTTCTAATTCATTTTCTAGAGGATCAACTTTTTTCTTCATTTTTTTATCAACCTTGGCATAAAGAGGTTCTGTGTCTTTCTTAAACTGATCTGGTGATTCAGGTTTTCCCTCTTTCTGCAAATTCTCTGTTGACAAAGTTTGTTCTTTATCCTCAACCTCTGCCTTAACTTCCCCAGTGGTCTTTTCTGTGTCCAAAAGCTGAGCCTTAACATCCTTGAGAGCTGCATATCCAGGATCAGTTTGATCATCTTCCATGTCACATAATTTGTCTTCATTTTCCTTAAAATAAATTTCAATAGATTCATATTCTGAACTACTTTTTTCTTTCTCAATAAATTTAGGTTCTTCATTTCTTCCTGAAGAATCGTTTTCAACTTCACTGTTGCTTACAGAAGATATTTCCCCTGGTAGAGACGGCAACTTTCTGCCCTGAATTTCATCACCGGACAACTTATTGCAGTCAGTAACTTCTTCCGGGCTAATTTCATCGTCGGACAACTTATTGCAGTCAGTAACTTCTTCCGGGCTAATTTCATCGTCGGACAACCTATTGCCGTCAGTAACTTCTTCCGGGCTATTATCATTTTTCTCAAGATATGTTGCACAAGTCTCACTCTCAAGTCGTTCTTTTTTCCCTCTTGCAGGCTCATTAACCATTTTATCAAGAGAAGCCAAGGCATTCTGAATTTCAGGGTCACAAAGACTGTCATTCTTAGAAGCACTAGTACCTGCAGGCAGCACATCCTGAACCTTTACAGTAACAAGAGGAGACTGTGGTAATGCAGTACTCTTCTGTTTGGTTTTGGGCACTGCTTTAGGAGTGTTAGGTTCAGAGTTCATGGGTGTGGCCGGCTGTATCTGAATAGTGGGAATTACAAGCCGATTTGGATTCTTTAAGCCATCTCCAATGAAACCTGGATTGTTTAACCCATATCTAGGATGACTTGGTGAAAGTTCCTCTGAACTGTTCCTCAACCCATAGCCAAAGTAGATAACAAAGCCTACATGCAAAGGAAAGTGCAAAAAACAAAGTGTTAGTGCCATGCAGTGGTTAGTAAAAAGCAATAAGTTTAAATAAGCTGTACATTATACAGTACTGTACAACAAATCAGAAAAGGATGATACACCAGAGTTAACAGATATTATCAGCTGAACTAATAAGTAAGAAAATAAATGTTAATTCTGTTTTTACTTTTTAAGCAAACGTTTATTTTTAGTGTTCACAATGATGCTCTTACTGTACCTGTTACAATGTTAGTGTAAAATATATCATACAGTACACCAGGAATAAATGTTATCAGAGGATCCCACTTCCTAAGAGTGCTCACAATTATTAGACAAATATTTCTTATATGAAATTTTTTTTTTTAACTGATGGTGTGGGCAAAATTTAAGGTGAACACTTAGGGGCTCATCTTCAAGTGATCCATTAAAGCTTAAATTGCATATGGTCTTGTTCGTGGTCTCAGGGTTAGTCTTGTCAGCAGGTAAGCCTTCTTCAAACTATTTTTTATTACTTGCAATAAAATATCAGCAACAGTTAGATCTAAGATACAGTATTGATACACTGATTACTTCTTAAGTTGAGGGGGAATGGGTAGGGGAATATACTACAGGTTGTACCTCTCTAGTCTGGCATTCTGTGGTCCGGAAACTCCCGTGGTCCGGAACGATTTTAGTTTGTCCAGTAGGTAGATAGGCAGCTTTTTTTTTTGTTTTTGTTTTTTTTACTTATCTGAATTATTATTACAGGACTATTAAATTTTTGCCCCTCAGGCCCCAATGTGGGTCAGTGACCTATGCCCGGGTGGGCTAATCCCCTTAAAAAAAAAAAGCCGCGGGAAATTAAGGTTTGTTTACATCCGGCAGTTCGGCTGCTCTCTCTCTCTCTCTGCTTGTCTATACAGAGTACAACATTTAACCCTTCAATATATATGAGCAGTAAATAAGTGTTGCTTTCATATTCTTATGTAGAGTAATGACGATATGTTTTCACATGTGCGCACTTACATACGCGCAGTCTCACTTTTTTTTTTACCATTAATGGTTAGCTACTTATATTGTTCCATTTATTAACATTAAATAACATTACAGGTACTTCAAACAACCATATTATTTTTTTTACATTAATTTTACTACAGCTAAAATCAGGGTCTTATTTTCTTCAGTTTTATATGTCGAACCAATCAGTCACTGGTTTCGTAAGCTTTAACATAAACAATGCCGGCAGCCGTCTCGTCTCCTCTAATATTCCACGTATTATTAATAAATTGTATTGTTAATTTTGCACACACAAACATTAATTGAATAAAAACAAATTCAGAAACATTAATTAAAATATATATGAACAGTAATAAGTGTTGCTTTCATATTCTTATGTAAAGTAATGACGATATGTTTTCACGTGTGCGCATGCGCACTTACATACGCGATCTCTCTTTTTTCTTTACCATTATCGTTAGCTACTTCTATTGTTCCATTTATTAACATTAAATAACATGACAGTCGACCCTCGTTAAAACGGACTAATAGGGGGGGAAGGGTGTCCGTTTTAGCCGATTGTCCGAATTAACCGATTTAGGGGTTAATATTGCATTATACAGCTATGTGTATGTTTATTTGAGTGCCCCGTCATAGGAGTCCGTTTTCTCTCACTTCAGCACTCCTGAGTCGTCCGTTTTCTCTTAATCTTAGAGTGCACCAGAGACTGTTATATCTTAGTGGTGACACAGAATTTGATATTGCAACTGGGGTTGCAATTGTTGAGGCAACTTAGGTATGTCTGATTACAGTTGGAATATTCAAGATCCATTGTGAGTGATGTTTAAAGCTTCAACTGTCTTTATGGTTGGTAAAACTTGTCAAGTCTGTCAGTCTGAATGGCATGTGCGAGGCCTTGTGTTTGTACAACCGCTAAATATATAAATATATAATGTTATGATAATTATCAGAAACACATAGGCATAATGAGGTTTATTACAAAGTGATGAAAAGAATACTGTACAGTGGCTAGTCCACAAAACATGTAGCCATGTCTCTTTATTTGAGTGCCCCGTCATAGGAGTCCGTTTTCTCTTAATCTTAGAGTGCACCAGGGACTTTGTTATTTCTTAGTAGTGACACAGAATTTGAAATTGCAACCCCAATTGCAACTGGGACAATCCCAGAACCAGAAATTTGATATGGATAGTTCAGATTTCGTCCGATTTATCCGAAATCCGGATTAAAGGGGTCCGAATTAACGAGGGTCGACTGTACTTAAAACAACCATATTAATTTTACTACAGCTACAACCAAGGTCTTATTTTCTTCAGTTTTATATGTAGAACCAGTCAGTCACTGGTTTTGTAATCAACGAAAACAATGCTGTGTCATTTCCTCGTGTGTTTTAATATTCTACGTATTATTAATGAATTGTATTGCTCATTTTGCACACATAAACATTAATTCAATAAAAAAGACATTGAGTAATAAACAATAATGAATCTTTTGTACAGAAGAGAAATGACGCTGTTTACATGATTATGCACGTTGTCTGCACGTTGGCGGGCCGTTCAAACCCGTCGAAATTCAAGTTTCCGCCGTCAAAATTTTTATTTATTTATTTTTTGTGTGTTCCAATAAAATACGTTAAGAATTAAAAACTCGCGAAAGTTAAGAAGCTACTATACGACATTTAACCCTTCAATATGTCTTCAAAGAGACCATGATGCAGAGAAAGTGGTGCTAGTGCTTCCAAGCATAAGCACAAGTCACTATCTATCCAGGAAAAGGGTGAATTTCCATGGTCCGGCACCGGTCAGGTCCCAAGGTTGCCGGACTAGAGAGGTACAATCTGTACCGGGTATGGGGGAGTGTATTAGTCAGTGTGAGGTGTAAAGGCAAGAGGTTTCCTTCTTTGTTAGTACTGTACTGTGCATTAAGTGTCATGCTCACTTAATGTAACAAGAGAAGCAAACTACAAAGAATATACTACATGCATAGGGTCTAAATGTATACTTACCAATGACCATCCAAATCAGAAATCGTTCCCAGGTTTGATATGGCAGGTTACACATTAGGTACAGGTTAAAGAAGGCACTGAGGGCAGGGGTCCAAGGCACAAATGGCACCTGAAAATACAGTTAAGAAAATCAGCTATGCTTTTTAAATTAATGTTCTAAATGTTTCAACAAAAGAATTTTGTACCCAACAAGTAAACACAGTAAACCTTCATCATCATGAGTACTACAGTACAACCTTTTACTGTTGTACACAAGTACCTGCTGCCTGTATCAACATAGTCACCAAACCATAAACTCATTATTGCAGTACAATGGTGAGAGATGCTAATACAGGTATCTCACATTACTAATTACAACCTAATCTACACTACATCATGTTCCGTCCATCACAGTTGTTACTGTATTAAAATAAAATCCATGAGTAAAGAACTACAGTATATGGAGGAATGAATGTTTAGCGTGAGGTAAACTGCTTGCTGTGCTTGACGACACTTAGTCAAACACAATACAGAAGTGCTGTAAGACCTAATTAATTAATAGGCCCTATTTAGCGATATGTATCATATGCAATATCTGAAGGAGTGATTTGCAGTTAAGGAAGCCAAACACAAGCCAATGTGTGGATGTGGTGATGTGTGGATGTGGTGATGTGTGTGTGTGTGTGTGTGTGTGTGTGTGTGTGTGTGTGTGTGTGTGTGTTGCAGCCTAAGCACTGATCAACTGCTCGAGAGACCTCTCAGTAATTTGTTACAGCCAAATCTATATCCTGTACACTATAGCATAACAATCATCGCTACGAATTGTCTAATAACCATCTGTTGAAATCCCTGGAGCCCGATGTTCAGCTGTATCACGACCACATCAATGCTAGCCGTCAACAAAACATTACCTAGTTCTTCACCCGCCAACCACCACAGCCAGCCCAAGTCAGTGATAGTGAGGATATGGACTTCGAGGGGTTTGACGGGGAGGCCCTGCTAGCCTCTGTGGTGGATAGAGATACAGGTGAGGGCCAATAATCTGCCCTCTGCCTCGGAACCAACCCCCATCCCCGTGTGCCCAGCCATCTCTTCTACTAAAGTAAGTGTTAAAAAACCTAATATTATTGATATTTCTCTTATATATTAATTGTGTGTGCAAACCATCATAAAATTAAGATGTTACTTTTACTACACTGTATGTATTGTGTCGGCAATAGCCAAAAAAAATGGTAGTCTGGCGGTCGGTCCGGTCTCTAATTCAATTAATCCCATAGGTTCTGTTATTTTATTTACGCATTTCGCTTTATACGCGGACCTCCATGGGTTTAATTAACCTCGTAAAACCAGACTATAGTGTATATATATTTAGTGATTTAAGGGCAATTTAGGGATTTTTAGGAGTTTCTTACTTAATGCGAGGTCCCAAGAATGTAACCCCCGCGTAAGTTGCGAGTCTACTGTACTGTACCAGCATTGTCTATACTGAATCAATGCAAAATTGTAATAATGATTTACTGTACGTGTATAAGTATCTATCTACAAAATATATTGTATAAACTCTTAAATTAAATTTTCTTGCATTCACACACAAACTTATAGACATACTGTATACTGATAAAAACACTATATGGACTCCAATACACAAACAAATACTAAAAAGCATAAAAGTGTAATAATAATAATAATGATAAACTGTGATTGTATAACACTATAATTACACAAGATACCAATAACTTTTTTCTTTGTATTTTTATTTTATCTTAACACTGTACCGATGTTATGTAATGACTAGACAGTATTATGGTACAGTATTGGGGTGGACATATTGGTACAGTGTCTCGGTGATCCCTGGACCTTTATCTTTATATTCCCATTACAGTACAGTACTTCATGATGCTCTAACTGCATGATGTCACAATAACCCAACTCCTTCAGGAATGCTCACCTGTGTAACAATGATGACTTTCTGATTTACATATAACTACATGCTGAAATATTTCATTAGGGTACAGACCCATCAGCTACTGTATCTGTCTCTGTCTGTATATCATTTCACAGATAATTCATTCTATTGACAATATTCTTATACATTATCTTGAAGTTTCATGTATTTTAGGGATTTCTCAAACACAATGAGGAAATTTTCCCTTTATTCAATAATGAGAGGCTAATTTTCTGCAATTTTCCTTAGTGTGAACTTCAGGATTTCCCTAAAATTTCTGCCTTTTCCCTCAGTTTTTTCTTACAAGGCACAATAAACTTCAAAATGCCAATTATTCTAGTTTCCTGTTTGTATGAGAACTCTTTTAAACAAATTCAAGCTAATCAACATGAGTCAAAGCTTCCTTTACATTCTGTACTATACTATTATAAAGTACTGTAAGCTGAGTCACGCAGACACTCCTCCACATATCAAACATTTCTCAAGATTTATTCCATCAAGACAATCCTCTAGAGCAGTGGTTCTTAACCGTTTTACTACCTCGCCCCCTCTAGGAATTGGTCCTTCCCTCCACGCTCCCCTTGCATCTATGAATAAAATTCCCTCCCAGATTTTAAAGAAATATGAAAAATATTGTGTTTTTAGTCTTTTTATTGAGTATAAATTAGTGAGATACTTGACACTGCTTCTTAGCTATTAGATCTTGAATGCGTGGTTGAAAGCCAGAGAGTGCACAACGTAAATCCCCTTCAACGTTCAGCCTGTTTCTGTACTTGGTCTTGACAGCAATGAGCGTGGAAAATGCAGCTTCACAAAGATACGTAGATCCGAACATAGTTAGAATCCGAAGAGCCTGATGTGAGATCAGAGGGTAAACAGGAAGGTATTTGACCCAGAACGTCTCAAGATCCAGTTCTTTGAAGTCTTCCTTAACTGTGGAGTTGAACTTCAACTCAAGAAACTCCTCTTGCACCTCATCCGAAACATCAGCTACTTCATATTGAAATGGGTTCCTGATGAATTTCCAGGCTTCACGCTTCTCATCAATCTCTGGGAAGTATCTGATGAATTTTGTTTTCAAGTCAGTTAGATGAGTGATTATTTGTTTCTTTAACTCAGATTCAAGGTTACCGTGAATGAAAGCAGAATCCAAGTTACTAAAACTGGCTGTATTTCCCTGCTGAATTCGACACTTCCAGAGGTCGAGTTTGGACATGAAGGTTCGAATGGTGTCGTGGTGCATGATGATGTTGATGTTTTTCCCTTGTAGTTTAAGGTTAAGAGCATTCAACGCTTCGAAGATGTCCACCAGGTAAGCTAGAGATAGCTGAAAGCCTTCAGACTGGAACTTGTCATGGAGATCTGCCTTCTGCTTCGAATCAAGAAATATTACTACTTCTTCTAGTAGTTCATAAAGCCGTCCAAGCATATTCCCCTTTGATAGCCATCGTACGTTCGTGTGAAAAAGCAAGGTTTCATGTTCAGATTCCATATCCTTACACAGCAGTTTGAAGAGACGACTGTTTAAGGCTCCAGCTTTGATAAAGTTGACTACCTTGATAGCCACGTTCAGGACATCCCTCATTTCAGCAGGTAAAGTTCTGGATACTAAGGATTCACGATGAAGTATGCAGTGTGTACCTACAACAGACGGATTTTTTTCTTTCACCATTGTAATGAATCCAGACTACAGACCAAGCATGGCTGGAGCCCCATCAGTGCACACCCCTACCAGAGAGTCCCACGAAAGTTGGTTTTCCTGAAAGAAGTTTGATACATCATGAAAAATAGCTGCTGCTGTTGTACAACTTTCCATGGGGTAACAGAACAGCATTTCCTCTTTTACACTGTTGCCTGACACGAAACGAGCATATATCAGTAGCTGAGAACACTGAGCGATGTCAGTCGTTTCGTCACACTGGATGGCAAAAACAAGAGACTCTCTTACTTGGTCGAGAAATTGATCGTGATGTCATGAGACAAATCATCGATCCTTCAAAACTTGCGAATAACAAACAGAGCAACACATGCGTGTTCACAATTCACCAATAAACTTATTTTTTCATAACCTTCTAAATATTAGCCCACGCTCTTGTTAAGAGAATAAAAACTATAATTATAATTAGAGAAATTCCTACTTTTTCCGTAGGGCTTGCGCTCCCCCTGGAAATTACTGACGTACCCCAGGTTAAGAACCACTGCTCTAGAGCAACATCAACTTCACTTTACTCTCTCATTACCACCATTTACCTCTTATACAGGGCTGTACTCCTGTTAGTCATTCACATTACAAGGTCCCACGGTCTCACCATCCATATTTTCCTTCACAAACTCATAACAGTTGATCTCTTTTTAACGTTCTCATTGTTTCCAATTGAAATGTACACTCAACCAGAACATCCTTGTATCCTTGTCCAGTATGTTTCCCAGTTTTTTAAAGATAAGTACTGTACTGTACTGTTAGTTATGTCTGCTGTAGGAGTAAAATTCAGAATACCATGCATTTACAAGAGTTGTACTGACAGGGTATCTACAAGTAAAGACAACTTACATGAAATAAATACAGACCAATAACCAGTACAATATATGATGTGCCCCATTTGTACCTGTTGAAACAAAAGGCATGACTCTTGAAGTAAACATCATTACCAATAGTTTAAACTTGACTTACACATTCACCTTCATGATGGATTAATCATGAAATTTTATTTTGCTGGTGGAACCTGTAGCCAAGTGGCTCTTGCAATACAGGAAAACTTCCGAGTGATTTTTGATCCCTTTAACTGCACTCTTTGTGTCTGCCAGGGGTGGTCTGTTAAAAATCATCTCACTGGTCACCCTTCCTTTACACCCCACCCAAGCGGCTAACGAGCTGATCAGTGGTGAAGAGGATAAAGTAAAAGTAACAGCCAACCTCCTCACAGAAGACATACTGTATGCTCAGGTTGCCCACTCCCATAGAGGAGGGATGAGGGACAAAAGGTTGGAGGTTTGGCGTGAACCAAAGTCTAATAATTCAGTAACAACCATAGAATTACAGGACTGTGAGGGAAGGTACCTGATATATAGTGGACTGTGAAGGAAGGTACCTGATATATAATGGATTTTCACGTTCACTGCCTCATTATCATCATCATCAATGCCACCAAAATTATACTCACACAACCCAGTCCTACTAGCAAGGGATGAACCAACAGCAAGATGGGATGGTTCTTAACACTACCCTTATTTTGCTGAAATCTCTTGAAACATTTGTGGCTCAATATAATGAACTTGAAAAAAGAAAGAAAGAAAAAAAGATGGTACTGTACATAGATTTTTGGTACAACATACTATCAACAGCAAGTGACATGGGTTTGGTGCGATATAATGTACATTGCATGACTAATCCCACACGATTATGGTCATGTTTCCAAACTCAACTAGACTCCAAAATAAAAGTTGCAAGGTGAGATCTTCTTTTTTGTAGCCGATATATTGCCTCTGAACCTGTCTAAATGTATCAATGTATGTGGTGAGATTGTGAGAGGTTTGGTTTCGGAGGTCAACTGGATGAACTGATTGATGATGAAATTTGATCAGTTCTTTAATACAGTGACCCCTCCGTTAACGAACTCAATCCGTTCCAGAAGGTCATTCGTTAACCGAAAAGTTCGTTAACCGAAACCATTGTTTCAATGGGTTTTTGGGTAATTGGTTCCAGCTCACCGAAAATTTCCTAAATTCAACAAAAATGGTAGAAAAGTTCACTTACTTTGAGGTGTGTATGTAGAAGGCTCCTGGATGATGATGATGATGATGGGATTTAGAATAGGGGTGGAGGAGAAGGAAGAAGAGAAGGCATTGGGGTGGAAGAGAAGTCACCCCATGGCGCCATTCCACCCATAAAATTTTAGCTCCCTTGGTGTAATTCAAGATTATTTTCTTTAAATCAACACTGCACTGCATTATATATTGTCAATATGTAAAACATATTTCAAAATGACCAATAATTTGCTTGGAAACACAGAAAAAAAGCGTTTAGTTGAAGAGAGTTTCAAGCAAGATGTTACCTCCAGTGAAAACAGAGAGAGACTAACTCCTGTTTGCTGTGTTAAGAGGCTGGATGCCGCGCATTAAACTAGTCACTTTACCTTCAATTATGTTCAATAATTGTTAAAATGACTAAAAAATTGAATATTAAACTTTTAAAATTATTGAATAGTATAAACTTCTTGATATTTACTAAAATAGTAAGGAATTTAAGCCCTAGAACCGATTTAATGTATTGGCAGACTGATACTAAAGCTGGTTGCCCGGTCAGTGCAAGCAAAAACATGTTGAGGTCGGTTCGTAAGAACTTCGTTAACCGAATTTTTTTTCGTTAACTGAATTGAAGATCCTTATGGAAGGCAGTTCGTTAATCGAAATTACGTTAACCGAGGTGTTCGTTAAACGAGGGGTCACTGTATATCTAGATTATATTTACTCCCTAGACTTAGAGAAGTGTCTTGGTAAGGAGGTAGAGTAACTCAACTGTTTCAAATGGATAAAAAAAAAGAAGTAATGCAGTACTGAGAAGTTCATGTACCACCTGATATATGGTAAGAATTTGAGATCATGCTACTTATATACTTTTGTCTGATGGCCAGGAAGCATAGCATTCAACGATCATTCTTACACCTGAAACTCCTCAAAAATGATCTATGCCCCATGATGGATGGCTCTGAGCAGACCTAATTAGTTGTCTCTGATGAGTACCGAGACATTTTGTGCGGCCTTAACTTCAACATAATAAATGACTGCTAACAGGAAAGCATGGAAGGTGTTTATTACATTAAATTATTATTATTTTTTTTTATACTTTTGTAAATACAGTTTTAAAGCATTGTTTCAGTAGCACCAGGGCCACCACAGTGTTTAACCTGACACTAACAAAACTTAACTTAAGTTGGCTCACACACCCCTTGAGGAATTTATTTATGGTTTAACACTTAATCAAATATATGCCCAGTAAATCCTCATCAACAAGGAATATAGACTTTAACATGCAGGCTCGTCAAACACCACACTGTATCTAGCCAAAACAGACTCGGCTACTAGCCATCCTATACATATGAACCAGTTTTGTGGGAACCACAGCAAGACCCACAAATAAATGGACTGTTTTGTGGGGAAACTACTGTAAGTCCAAAACTCTGGTGCTCTGACTAGCCACTTGTAGGATGCTAACCAGGTCTCAGAAGGGTGTAAACAAGCATTCGAAACAATTTAAACACAAAATTAAAATATTTAACAACACCTGATCCAAGGTAAACCCCAGACAATCACTTTCTACAATTGTGTCAAGAGATTTATCTTTGAAGTAACCATGCATTTCAGGTAAAGACGATTAGACATGACCAAACACTGTTGTAGTTAGCCGGGAACGGATATATGTTAGGTATGAGAAATCTGGATTAGTGTGGATTCACAGACTGCAGCATTATGGTATGGTGGGAGCTGAATGGTTAGATTCACTTAAAGCAAACTGCCTGCCTTCTTCCCCCTACCTACCAGATCCTTCCAAGGAGGAGGACAACTGCCTCACATGCCCTATTAATTGAGGATGCCTCTGCAGGAAAAAAGAAGAGTGATTATTTAGATAATAATTAACAGATCAACCCTGGCATAGGGGCCTAGTCAAAGAGCAAAGTTTATGGATATAATAAGAGGCGTTTGGCTTAGGGCATTAACTTAGAAAATAAGAAGACACTGTCAAATGGAAACTTCAGTTATTGAGACTGTGAATAAATAAAAATATGAATAAATGAATAGATAGACATTCCAAGCAGGTCATATAGTTTGATGCTCATTCACTGTGAAAGGTTACACAACTGTTCTCCTGCCAAATACCTACAACAACCTACCCCAAGTTCAATTTTCTTTACATTCCTTACAGTATATTCAGTACTTCTCACACCTAAACAACTAAAGCAACTCCAAACTACAAGAAGTCAGGAAGCTCCTTGTGGTTGAATGAGTAGAATGGGTCAAACCGAGTCCACCTGGGAGGTCAACACTCAGTTCACTTTTCTACACAATGACTGTCAATGTTACCTCAACACTCCACACCACTTCTCACCAAATCCTTCCTTACCCTGCCTCAGCATAACTCACTCACTTGGCTTTGTGAATACCAGAGACAGGTGTTAATTATATTTTCCTTATTTTCACCACAATGTTTCCTTATACCAGATGAAAATTATTGAGATTCCATAACATGTTACTTCAGCATAACGTACAAATACAAACCTTGAAAAACAACGCCTTTTTAGATTCTGGTTGACGGGCAAGTACGATGATATTGATGAGACAGAGGATGGCAACTATGACAACACCAGCTATAGCCAACCCGTTAACATCATTAAGTTGCTTCTGTAACAGTCTCAGCAACAGAGCGAGGATTAAGGCGAGTACACCTGCAAAACAAGAAAATTTACTCACCATTATATTAATGATGAAGTAAGGTATACATACAACAAAGCAATAGTTATTCTGTTGTATGAAAACATGTGTATTCAAAAATAAACTTTACTGTATAAAGAATATCATAAATAAATCTACCCCCCTTTCAGGATGGAGATGTGTGAGATACAGTACAGCTCTTGGTTAACTAGACACACAACACAGCAGATAAACGCTCACGGTGACAGGTTCCACTTCCTCCACCTTCATCCAAAACTGTGAACTATCCCCCAAAATATGATCTACCATTACTGCAAATTTAAACCATGGTTTGTGCACACTACTGCTACCAAGTACTAATAGAACTGATTTAGAGCTGTGGTTTGGGCCTTAGTTTATCACAAAAGATTTTTTTAAATTTAATAATTTCTGGTCCATGATGTCACTCAAGATATGAACCAAAAATGGCACCACACATCATCAGAGGTCAACCCATGGTGATTCATAATATTACAATGGCTGTCATCAACCAATCACTCAGGCAGTCTCTCACATGCCCAACATAATGTGTCTTCACTTGTTGTCTCTACAGGAAAGTAAAGGGTTATTGAAGGAGATAAAAGCAGCTCCAGGGTGTGTGTGTGTGTGTGTGTGTGTGTGTGTGCACCTCTCTTAGCCAGTAATTGATCACCATCCCTACCCCATCTAAACACACACACACATGTAAGCCGTGCCATGCAGGTGTTATCTGAATCCAGTATAGCTTTTCTCAAACAACCAGGTTTTGGGGAGTTGTTGATGTTTCATCCTGGATTACGCAGTTCAGTTTTGGTCACGGTATTACAGAATGGATATAGAATCATTGGAAAGAATTCAGAGGAGAATGACAAGACTAATCCCGGGCATTAGGAACCTTGAGTATAGAGACAGGTTAAAGCATCTTAATTTGCACTCCCTCGAGAGACGTAGAGCTAGGGGCGACCTGATAGAGGTGTATAAGTGTAAGTCAGGGCTAAACAAAGGGGACATTACAAAGGTACTCAAACTATCCAACCAGGAGCGAACTCGTAACAATGGTTTTAAATTAGACAAATTTAGATTTAGGCGTGAAATAGGTAAACACTGGTTCGGAAACAGAGTAGTGGATGAATGGAACAAGTTACCAAATATCATCATTAACTCGAATACGCTCAATAGCTTCAAACATAGGTTGGATGCTTATATAAGCAATAGGGGTTGGGTGTAAACGGGACTGCCCAGTATGAGCCAATAGGCCCGCTGCAGTTTCCTCCATTCTTATGTTCTTATGGTTCAATTGCAGCCCCTGTGGTGTAATCAACTTGGGAAGTACTGTATGCAGGTGTTTTCAAAACAATTAAGAGCTCCTGCCTATCTCAAGTCACACTCCGGGAGGGTTTGAGCCTCGGCTGTCTCTGTAATTTATACCTCAGAGAATACATCCCTAATGTAAATACCGTATATACTCGTGTATAGTTCGAGTTTTTAAGACCAAATTTTTAGGCAAAAAATTGGGGGTCGTCCTATACATGCATAATAGTTTTGTTAGGTTGAACCCATGCATGATGGGAAGGGTGAGGAGCAACTTTTAGCTTCAGACATGAAAAATATTTACCATTTACTGCCAGTAAACAATGGAAACGTAAAATATGTACCAATTAGTAATGAAAAGTTGTGCAGTTCCTTCAGCAAATGAAGCTCACCAACTTACAATAGGCTAAATTACCTTACAACGTGCTTTCAGTAGTCTATGTTGAAGTTCTTAGCACAGGCTAACTTATCATATCATATACGGTATCACAGTACTCATTGATCTACAAAAAATACCGGTAATAAAAACCTTTTCGATATTTCAAACTTAATATAATACCCGGTAATCTACTTCAACCTCCTATTGTTTACAACGACGCATGATACATCATGCACCACGAGCTATTGCGTGTATCAGCTAGAGGGTATGTGTTTTTCGAATCGTTTTCAGTTAAAAAACTGTTACATCACATGTATATTTTACCTTAACTGTGCCTGAATGAATATATTCTCGGAAATAAATAGTAGTTTTGCTGAAACATGATGTATTTTAATGTAAAATAGGATAAAATACATGACGAAAACAAAAGATTTTACCTAACCTTCCGATGTTCAAGAGAAGTTACTCGTTTTTTAATAGTTTTTGGTTAAAATATTGTTATATTACAATGGTATTCTATTCATACTGTGCTTGATATAATGCATTCACGGAAATGTAATATTTTTGCTGAAATGACGTACGTATTACAGTGGAAAGTGGGATAAAAGTGTGATGAATACAATGACTTTCGCTTTCTTTCGTTCAAAAGATGTTACAGTAATCGCTTTTCGAATGGTTTAGTTAAAAAAACTGTTGTATTACAATAATATTCCCTCCTAATTGACTTGAATAAATACTTGAATGGAAATATACAATATTTTTGTTGAAACTACCCGCGTTTCAGTGTAAAGTGTCGTAATAATAAATGGTAAACAATTTGCCTTCGGCACTCGGTGTTTCAGGCACGGCGAGCCTCAGTTTATAGGACGTAGAGCGTTTTTACTCAAGGTTTTGTTGTTCCATTACCCTCAAAAATGTGGGTCGACCTATAAACGAGGAATATCATAAATTAACGATTTCTTGGTAAAAAAATCAGGGTCGACCTATAAACGAGGGGGGGGTTATAGACGAGTATATACGGTATATACATTGGGATTTCGTTTAAACCCTTACTATAAAGTGCTTACATAGGGATGGGCAAACTGAGTACTGTGCTGTACTCTGAAAGAACCGAGTATTTCAGTACTGATTACTCGTCAGAACCGATTAAACAGAGTACTAATTGATTACGTTTTTAAATCCGGCTTGCTTGTGCCATAAACTGCTTGTTTAGCATGTTGTGTACATCAGAGACCTACATTTTGATGTAAATTTTGATTAATATAGTCTAATGTTATCAAAACAGTTTTAAAATACAGTGGTCCCTCCATTAACGAATACAATTGGTTCCACAGAGTCGTTTGTTAACCGAAAATTTCATTAGCTGAATCTATTATTTCAATGGGATATTGGGTAATTGGTTCCAACTCACAGAAAAAGTACATATAAAGTACAGTACTGTACTGTATACCGGTAATACAATTAACAAACCATTAAATATAAACTAAATACAGTACTGTACTGTACTGTACAGTATAATGCACAATAAAAAATAAAAAATAATAGAATGCTACATTTTAACTTACTTTGAGGTGTGTATGTCATATTCCCGGCAGCTTTGTTTACATATCAAACGGCTGATTGTAGAGGCAGTCGATGATGACATGCCATATCTTTACAGAGTGCACTGGTTCTAATGCCTTCTTCATGTTTCATAATAATTTCTGCACTGTATATTATCAATATGTGAACTAAATTTCAGAATGACCAATAATTTTAATGTAAAAAATGCAAAAATATTCAAGAGACCAACAAACTGGATGTTCACTCCACTGTAAACAAAGTTAAACTGAGAAGGTTAGTTGGGTGATTCGATCAGCTGATGGGCTCACAAAAACTGTTCCCTGTACTGTATGTATTATCAATATGTTAACTAAGTTAGAATGACCAATAAATTTTAATATAAAAAATGCAAAAATATTCAAAAGCACAACTTTTTTATATTTACTCCAGTGGAAACAAATGTAAACATAGAACCAATTACTGTATTGGCGGACTAGCCGATAAGCTGACGCGCACAGCAAAGCGTGTTTCTCGTAAGGCTGTCTTTAATTGAAGTTTTGTTCGTTAATGGAATTGAAAATCCTTATGGGAGCTAATTCGTTAATCAAAATTTCGTTAATTGGACCATTCATTAATCGAGGGACCACTGCAGATACAAATTCCATTTGTTGGAGCTCAGGATTTCAATAAAATTTCTGTCTTTTCCTTCATTTTTTTTTTTCACAAAATAACAAAATTACCCCGATGTGGGTCACTGACTTGTGCTCTGGTGGGCTAATCCCGTAAAAAAAAAAAAATGCTGAAAACCTCATAAGATTTTCATATCACGACATATGTGAAGTTCACAGTAACAGCTGATAGATAGCTTTTGTGAGCATAAATTCTTTGGTTAAGAGCTCACAAGATAATTATTTGGTTCAACAATGAAGAAATATACAGTACATAATTCTATGTGAGTAATCAATGGTTAATAATTATTTGTTGGAAAACCATACATTCTGCTTAGACTATTTGTTCAAGATATAATAGGACTACCAAAGGCACAATAAGTTCAATAACTTGTCATAATAGAATATATGCTCCTGTTGGTATAAGAGGATCCTTTTGTGGATAAAAATTGCACAGCAAAATGAGTTTCCAAATCATGATGCTTTATAAATATTGTAGAAAAAATAAAGTCATTAGGTTCATAATTTATCTTGCAAAGTTTACATCTCCTACATAAAAAATTGGACATATATAGAACTATGAAAGCTCTACAATTTTTATAATCGAGCATTAGAGACGGATATTTTTAAAAAACAAAGTGAAAAGTAATCAAATTCAAGAACTGAATAAACCGAGTACAACCCGAACCAAAATGCCCATCCCTATACTTATGTAGAGTCATAGTGGACAGTGCTGTAACAGTGAACAAAGAGAGATTATGGGTAGCTGCTTGACCAGATCGCTACTTATTTAACCTCTCCAGAGACATCCTTACACACACACAACTAACACCACCCCTACCTCCTCTACACACACACACACACAACTAACACCATTCCTACCTATGATCTAATTACCTGTATTAAGAATATAGTAGCATACAATCAACTTAAGTAAGAGGGTGAGTGTGGTGAAAACAGAGTTTAGACTACACACACAGATCCCATTGTTTTAATATTTTCTGTATAAAACTACCATATCCATTATGTTCAGTATCTGTTATGACTAAATTTAATATAAGGTTGTAGTATATAGAGTACAAATGTGCCAATTATTAAGACACTTGAATCAATTAACTCATGTGTAAGCAAAGGTTTGGCAGCATTACCGTGTTCTAAATGACACTGCTACCGACGAGATTCATTAGGATGTGTTTATATTCCTTTAAGGATTTAATGGGTTAAAGGTCCAACACCTATAAATGTATATTTTGAGGTGCTGTTCAGACATTAATAGACTAATAAAGACAAAAGTTGGCCTAAATATACCTCACTACAAGCACCACATATGGACACCATTTTACTGGAACATTTGCTCCCTTACAGTCCTACCCAATGGGGGATATATACGACATGGAATTCCCTTGAGAATGTTGTCCTCTTTTATTAATAATAAATATTAATTTATGTCATGAAGAAAGGTAGTGTAGTATGGACATGCTGGGAAATGTACCCGGGAAGATGTGAGCATGGAGGAACACAGGTTTTATTGTAAACATCAGATACAACATGTTAGATACTGACTCAACCCTTCAACTATATTTACCTTGAGATAAACTGAAACTTATAAAATACTAATTGGTCAAATTTTACTTACAATATACTATAGTTGCATAGGTGACTAGTGAAGATGTGAGGTCAGTTGGGTTCTTTAAACACTTCTGGTTAAACAACTGATTTACATAGTCCATCACTGTATGGGTTGAATGTACCGGGATATCTGTATGATGTCCAAGTTCAGTGAAGCTTTGTGCATCTGTATCTTCATCCTCAGCATACCTGAAGCATTTATAAGTCTATTTAATAATAATAAAACCGAGTAAAATGAGATACTGAACCCTCACTAATTTTATACCATCAGGGCTCTGGGTGAACCTGATTACTGTGTTCCAAACAATAATATTAGTGATGGTTCAGTGTATTACTACATTAACTATCTTAGCAAAACAACTATTTCACAGGCTAATATACTATCACATAAGCACATGCAGAAACAATAGATTCATCCTAAAACCCCATACAGTATTACTGTATAGCCATCTCAGTGACTAAGACTTGCAGTATACACAAAGTCGACAGTCAACAGTCAGACCTCCAACAGTGATGGCCAAGCTCATTAAACAATGAGTAATCCTCTGCAATCTTGCATTTATAAATTAAGTTTGAACCTGAAATCCTGTTTCAAAATTGGGTCAGGATCATTCAGCCCCATACAGTTGATAAGTCTCAGGGGTTAAAACAGAGGTTGACCTAAAACTATTTCAAATTCTACCTCACCTCCCAAGGTTGAGGGTCAGACAATACTGTACTGTATATAGTTTTCCTGTAAACTAATCTAAGCCAATAATTCTATACTTATGAAACACATACAGTACTTACTGGTGAAATAACAACAACAACAACAACAACAATAACAATAATAATAATAAACGATAATAGCTGGCATTTTCTTTCTCAAAAGTGCCAGTTTTTCTAAAGAATTCATTAGTGCTTGAAACAAAGTCAAAGTCTTTAAAATAAAAATAAATATTGTGCTGTACTATAACAAAAGTTCACAAAAAGTGATAGGTCGAATTCTGTCACTTACATACCCTTAAGTTTTAAAACTTCCTAAACCCTGTAATTTTCCATCACTGTAGCTTGTTGAGGATCATAAACTTAAAAAATAAAAAGGTCTCAAGTTGTTTCTTAAGTATCGTAGGCAGGGAGGGATGGTAGGCAGGGAGGGATGGTAGGCAGGGAGGGATGGTAGGCAGGGAGGGATGGTAGGCAGGGAGGGATGGTAGGCAGGGAGGGGTAGGCAGGAGGATGGTAGGCAGGGGGGATGGTAAGCAGGAGGGATGGGCAGGGGAGGGGAGGCAGGGGAGGGATGGTAGGCAGGGGAGGGATGGTAGGCAGGGAGGGAGGGTAGGGATGGTAGGCAGGGCAGGGGGGGATGGTGGGGAGGGATGGTGGTGGGCAGGGGGATGGTAAGCAGGGGAGGGATGGTGGGCAGGGGGGACAGGCAGGGCAGGAGGGATGGTGGGGAGTGGGAGGGGAGTGGTGATGGTAGGGAAGCAGGAGGTGGGGCAGGGGAGGATGGCAGGGATGGTAGGCAGGGGAGGGGAGGAGGTAGGTAGGGGAGGGTGGGCAGGGAGGATGGTGGGCAGGAGGGATGGTGGGGCAGGAGGGATGGTGGGCAGGGAGAGGGATGGTGGGCAGGGAGGATGGTAGGCAGGAGGGGTAGGCAGGAGGATGTAGGCAGGTGAGGGGATGGTAGGCAGGGGGGATGGTGGGGCAGGGGAGTGGATGGTGGCAGGGGGGATGGGAGGGGAGGAGTGGTGGGCAGGGGAGGAGGGGCAGGTAGGCAGGGAGGGATGGTAGGCAGGCAGGGAGGAGGCAGGGGAGGTAGGCAGGGGAGGGATGGTAGGCAGGGGAGGGATGGTAGGCAGAGGGATGGTGGGCAGGAGGATGGGGCAGGTAGGCAGGGAGGGATGGTAGGCAGGAGGAGGTAGGCAGAGGATGGCAGGTGGAGTGGATGGTAGGGGGAGGGATGCAGGCATGGTAGGCAGGGTAGGGGGAGGGACAGAGGCAGGAGGATGGTAGGCAGGAGGGATGGCAGGAGGGAGAGAGGCAGGGAGAGAGGGATAGTAGGCAGGAGTGGACATTAGAGGGATGGTAGGCAGGGAGGGATGAGGGGGAGGCAGGGAGGATGGTGGGCAGGTGGGGATGGTGGGGCAGAGGATGGTGGGCAGGGTGGGCATGGTGGCAGGAGGAGGGTGGGCATGGTGGGCAGGCATGGTGGGCAGGAAGGGATGGGATAGGCAGGGGAGGGATGGTAGGCAGAGAGGGCAGGGGGATGGTAGGCAGGGCAGGGAGGGACAGGCAGGAGGGATGGTAGGCAGGAGAGGTGGTGGGCAGATAGTAGGAAGGGAGGGATGGCAGGGGCAGGGAGGAGGATGGTAGGCAGGGAAGAGGTGGTGGGCAGAGAGGATAGTGGGAAGGGAGGGATGGTAGGCAGGGGGAGGATGGTAGGCAGGGGGTAGGCAGGGGGTGACAGGGCAGGGGAGGGATGGTGCAGGCAGGAGGGATGGTAGGCAGGGAGGGGGATGGTAGGCAGGGGAGGCATGGAGTGGATGGTGGCAGGGGAGGATGGTGGGCAGGAGGGATGGTGGGCAGGGGAGGGATGGTGGGGCAGGAGGATGGTGGGTAGGGGAGGGATGGTAGGGGAGGATGGTGGGCAGGGAGGGATGGTGGGCAGGGAGGGGATGGTGGGGGCAGGAGGGATGGTGGGCAGGGAGGGATGGTGGGCAGGCAAGGGAGGTGGGCAGGGAGGGATGGTGGGCAGGAGGATGGGCAGGAGGATGGTGGGCAGGAGGGATGGGGGCAGGGGAGGGAGGAGGATGGTGGGCAGGGGAGGATGGTGGGCAGGGGAGGGATGGTGGGAGAGGGAGGTGGGATGGTGGCAGGGAGGGATGGTGGCAGGCAGGAGGGATGCAGGCAGGAGGGATAGGCAGGAGGATGGTAGGCAGGGAGGAGTAGGCAGGGAGGATAGCAGGCAGGAGGGATGGCAGGCAGGAGGGATGGTAGGCAGGAGGACGGTAGGAGGAGGGTGGTAGGCAGGAGAGGGGTAGGCAGAGAGGAATGGGCAGGAGGGATATTGGGTACAGGGAGAGGATGGTACAGGAGGATGGTAAAGGGAGGGATGAGGCAGGGAGGGGATAGGCAGGAGGGATAGGGCAGGAGGGAGGTGAAGGAGGATGGCAGGCAGGAGTGTAAAGGTAGGTGGGGAGGGATGGTAGGCAGGGAGGGATGGTAGGCAGGAGAGGTGGGATAGTAGGCAGGGGAGGGATGGTAGGCAGGAGGGGATGGTAGGCAGGAGGGATGGTAGGGGATAGTAGGCAGGTAGGCAGGAGGGAGGTAGGCAGGGTGGATGGTAGGGAGGGAGGGATAGTAGGCAGGGGGATAGGGAAGGAGGACAGTGGTAGGCAAGGAGGGATGGTAGGCAGGGAGGGATGGTAGGCAGGAGGATGGTAGGCAGGGAGGGATAGGCAGGGAGGGATAGTAGGCAGGAGGGATAGTAGGCAGGAGGGATGGCAGGTAGGAGGGTAGGCAAGGAGGGATGGTAGGGGCAGGGATGGAGAGGATGGTGGTAGGTGGAGGATAGTAGAGAGGGAAGGAGGGCAAAGGTAGGCAGGGGAAGAGGATAGTGGGCAGAGAGGATAGGCAGGGAGGGATAGCAGGAGGGAAGGAGGGATAGTAGGAAGGGAGGGAGGCAAGGAGGATAGTAGGCAAGGGGAGGGACAGGCAGGAGGGATAGTAGGCAGGAGGGGATAGTAGGCAGGAGGGATGGTAGGCAGGAGGGATGCAGGCAGGGGAGGTAAGGCAGGGGATGGTAGGCAGGGAGGGGAGGAGGAGGATGGTAGGCAGAGAGGATAAGAGGGATGGTGGGCAGGAGGATGGTGGCAGGGGTGAGGTGGCAGGAGGGATGCAGGGGTGGAGGGATGGTGGGCAGGAGGGATGGTGGGCAGGAGGATAGGCAGGAGGGATGGCAAGAGGGCGGATAGGAGGAGTGGATAGGAGGCAGGAGGGATGGTGGGCAGGAGGATGGTGAGGGGAGGGGATGGTGGGCAGGGGAGGATGGTGGGCAGGAGGAGGTGGCTGGTGGGCAGGGCAGGGGGATGGGGAGGGATGGTGGGCAGGAGGATGGGGCAGGTGGGGCAGGGAGGATGGTGGGGCAGGAGGGATGGTGGGCAGGAGATGGTGACAGAATGGCATTTAATAATAATAATAATAATAATAATAATAATAATAATAATTAACGGTTTATTGAAAACTTGGCAGTCAGAAGGCTGAAAATATACAGTTACATATTTGGGGAATGGGTTTCGAATTACAAATAATATACAAGTAACATAAGTGATACAAATAAGATATATAATAACTAGATGGGGAAAAGCTCAAACTACAGGGCATTTCAACATAGTGACTGCAAGGAGTAGTGTTTACTGGGAGTGAATACACTGGTTTATTACAAGTTATTGATAATTTTTACAATGGTTGGGACTGGGCTGTTCTTATAGCGATCAGTTCGTGCACGTATGGGGCTGGATGCGGTTGTGGTGTTGAAATGTTACCTCGGGCTAGGGATCTCAGGTGGTAGGAGGGATGGAAGCAGGGAGGATGGAAGTGGTGAGGGATGGTGGGCAGGGAAGTGACAGCAGGCAGGGAGGATGAGGGCAGGAAGTGATAGTAGGCAGAGGGATGGGGTAGGAGGGATGTAGGCAGGGAGGATGGTAAGTAGGGAGGATGGTGAGCAGGGAGGGATGGTGGGGCAGGGAGGGATGGTGGGGCAGGGAGGGATGGTGGGGTAGGGAGGGGATAGTAGGCAGGAGGATAGTAGACAGGAAGTGATAGTAGACAGGGAAGTGATAGTAGGGCAGGAGGATAGTAGGCAGGAGGGATAGTAGGCAGGAGGGGACAGGTAGGATAGTAGGCAGGAGGATGGTAGGCAGGGAGGGATAGTAGGCAGGGAGGGATAGTAGACAGGGAGGGATGGTGGGCAGGGAGGGATGGTGGGCAGGGAGGAATGGTGGGCAGGGAGGGATGGTGGGCAGGGAGAGGATAGTAAGCAGGGAAGTGATGGTGGGCAGGGAAGTGATGGTGGGTATAACAAGAGGTTGGAGGAAATAATTTTCTTGGTGCATCAGAACACAAAACACACAGGTGCCGGTTAAACTCTACAGTAATATTGAGGTACAGTACTTACGTGTTCTTGAGCAGGGTGTACTCAGACTTGCCAGTGCTCATATCAATATCTGTGTATCTGGAATAAAAATACACACACAAAGACTGAAATATACAACGGACAGGACATTAGTTTCGATGTTTTACTGCAACAATAAAAAAGAGATCAAATGAAGCACACACATACAGTACACACACATAGGTGGATAACTTATCAATAATTTGGCAACATTTAAAAGCTAAGAAGAGGAAGTAAACAGTGAAGACCCCAAACAATGTACAAAAAGTGACCAAGAAATAAACAAGACAACAATTAGTTCCATAACTCATGTCAATAACCACATATTTATTTTTATACTAAACCTTCACTACAGATAGTATTAAATTCATGAGCCATTCCAAAAAGGCATAGATATAAAACTTCCTAAACTCTTGATGTTAAATGTTGAAAGCAGAGAAACCCCACACAATCTCCCCAGTCACTTTCATGAACACATATAGTGGGTCACACAAACTACCATGGAACCAGATTATAAAGAACTCGGCTATCAGGGTGTGGAACAACCTGAAACACCAGTTCAAACAACACTTATCCTGCCTGAAATAAGTTGTACTAAATATAATCAACTTGAATATAGGAAGACAAACATATTGGTAAAAGCAACACCATAATGAAATTCAAGTAAAACAAGCCAAATACTTGTTACATGCCAAAGATTATAAACAAAGTGAATGAGCCATTGGTAGCTCTCTGACGTGCACTTATGGGAACAAAGCCTTGGAGGGCCTCTCTAAGGGGATGAGATGCATGTTGGTCGAGGTGTAGTTTACATCTAGAGAGAAACTGGCACTTATATTTGTGCACAATTGTTCAAACTGAAACAATGTAAATCAAGGGAGCTGGTGCTCTGAACACTGGTGAACAAAACATAAGTACTGTATACAGCAACACCTGAAAAAGGATTTTATGTACAGACCCAACTTGATTCCCAAATAGTATATATCAGAACCTGTCATGTACACAGGTAATTCAATGTAAACAATTTACACTTTTGGGTGCCAGGTTTTGAACACAGACCACCACAGTTGCTAGTCAGGCTACAAGAGAGTAGTTAAAGTGGGGTAGCTTTTGTCTATTGTGGTCTAGTGGAGAAGCTGCCTGCCAACCAACCGTGGTGATCCAGGTTCGAAACCCGGCAGCCAGAGGTGTTAATTATTTACTCCCGTATAGTAATCATGGCAATACTTCTCCACTCACTTTCAGAATGACATGTTTAGTATCTTGCTATATAATGGTTGCCCCTCGTGTAATGAGGATGGCCGGCCCTAGGGTCACCTAGGCGCGAATTTGCTTAAGGTGTAGAAGCTGTCGCCAACACAACAACCACACCCCAAGTAAACGAGTTGCATGACCCAGTGTCAAGGAATAGTCCGAGAAGACAGGACAACTCGCCAACTGCACTGGCTAACCATTACTCCGGAATACGATCTGCAAATCGATTAACATCCAGGTCCTCAATTACTGCTGGGTAGACAGAGGCTACAACACCCACACCACACCACGAATCCACTGATCAACATGGGGCAGATCCCCAGTAAACTAAGATCCAAAGAAACATTGCATCAATAACTTGTTTATAAACATAAAGAGTAATGAGCAACACACTGTTAATTGTGTACATCACTCTGCACTTTTTCAGTCAGTTTGACCAATGATAGCTAACAGAGCCATTAGACGCTTATTTCCAGTAGGGAACTTATGCCAACAACATCTGGTGTTCCTAAGTGGTCACCCATCCAAGTACTGTACTAACCAAATCCAGTGTTGCTTAAATTGGCTGATCGGACGAGAAGCAACATCAGCATTCCCTTTATTAAGCTACAGTATTACCATACATACATATAGATGATACATAAAATGAATAGGTAAATTTTTTTTACCATAACTGTGTTTTCCAGCACAAAATCCCTCATATGCATAAAAAGAGACCTAGAAAATAGTTGGTTTCTTTAAACAAATCTTGCCTGTGAGGTCAGAAGCTTGTTGTGAGGCTGAGCCTGCTTCCTACTACAGTAAGTAACTACAGTAAGCCTTAACAAAAGATAAAGATGGGCAGATCACACAGGCACTATGTGATCAGTGTGACTCTTAGGACAAGGGCAGTTTCTTAACAGTTGGGAGGGAGGTTATTAGTTTGTTGGGGTGATGACTGGTCTTCAGATCTGACCCAGTCACTGTAGGTCAGAGCTCCTCTAGGTGCCAGCCTTCATCAAGTCTTTCTAGACAGGTGTTCATTACATAAGTTATACTTCTGTAAAGCATTTTTAATATACTCTCGCTCACAAGGTGATTATGGATAAAAAAAGGGGAGGGGGAGGGAGGAATAACAGAACCAAAATACCAAATCCCATTTCTCTGGGAGAGGAAACAGAAGATAATAATAGTAAAGAAAAAGAGGAAGTGTATATACTAATAGAGACCATGAGAGTAAGAGAGGAGTGAAGCAGGTTAGTAAGCCTATTATACATTTTGACAGGTTTATCTCGTGGCAACCCTCCAATTGGACTACTCAGAAAGAATGAAAAATCAGAGATATCAACAAAGATACAGTACAGTCTCTCCTCGACTGACGACATATTCGACAACCCGGACATGTTTGTAATTCCCTTTAAAATGGCTGGCAAGCGTAAAAGTGAGAGTTCTCGTGGTGCTGAGAAGAAAAAGAGACACCCATTTTAGAATTTCTATGTACTGTATTATTTTCGCCTTTTCGACTTACGCTCTGGTCGTCGGGACGGAACCCTGTAGTAAGTCGAGGAGAGACTGTACTGCACTGTATATGTGGCAAAATGTACATCTATATACAAGTGAGTAGGATATATACAGGTATCCCCACGTTACAGAAACTCAGGTTGTAGAAATTGGCCAATCTGTAGTTGGTAAATTATGACCACTAAATTTGGGATACGGCTCGTAAATTTGACCATACGGAAACGGGGTAAATTTTCAAAATTTTTAACAAAAAAATTGGGATATAGAAAAAAAAATCAGAAATTATAATTAATTGGTATTGATATTTTTTTTATGTTTGCTACCACCAAGAGCGCGTGCACTGGCATACCCATGCTGACTCAGTGTGATGTCACCTCCCAGCATGTGTGGTAGGCTTGATCCCTTGATCCCAGCTCTTGGATCTAACACTTATGTGTGTATCTTATTCAAGACTGACCAGTGTATTACCCTTATTCAAGATGGGTAGAAAGAGGCCATCAAGTGCAAGTGAAAGCAGTGGTACTAAAATATCCCATAAAGGAACTATGTTGGAAATAAAACTTGATGTTTGACGGAGGTTTGATGCAGGAGAAAAACCAAGCCAGATTACAAAACATTAGGGCTTGCTACATCTACAGTGAGGACAATACATGATAATAGAAACAAAGTTAGGTCAAGTGCTCAAGCAGCTACTCCTTTAACTGCCCATATGTGAGGCTCAATTTGGAACGACACCTCACCTAACCTCATGCTACACTCGACATCATTTGTGGCGAGTTAAATTAAAGTGTTTTGTGTTCTGTTATATTTATTTATTCCTCACATTTACTGGTAGAGCATATATTATTTTATGTACAAAGAATGGCTTCTTCCACCCTCAAACCATCCTCTAGGCAACAAGACACGTCACTCAACTCACCACCTAAGTCACATTAGAGTATTGTAATGATTTTATTTATCTTATTCTCAAACGATCATGGACGAGTGATAAACAAGCTGAACTAGCGACAGATGGTGGGTGGGTTGGCTCATGCAAGAGCGAGACCTAAGCATCAGACACGTATGTGTTGCTATGTACTGTACTATGGATAGATGTACTCCGAGATCCTACTGTATCTATTATTATATTAACCCATAAACCATCCACCAGTTCTGGTAAAAGTCGTCCTGTTAAAAAAGTGTAATATTTTGTAAGAAAAAAAAAGAGATAATTCTGCACTTTGGGTATTTAAACTTCTTGCTACACATTAATATGAGTGCATGTGTCTCAGGAAATTCCCCCAGGACCTCTCAGGCAAGCGAGCCAAATATAAATGTTAAATGAATTTTTTCTATGTTCCATTCATTAATATTCTATTTCTTTACTCTCATTACTCACAAACTCATGGAAAACTAAGTAATAAATAAAAATTATAAGGTTTTAATACTGCAGTTCCCTTTTCATGTATTTAGGCTGTAAATCTGTCACTGGTGAGGGCAGGAGTCATAAATACAGCAGTGCTTTAAAACAGCGGTAATGCCACAGTGATGATGCCATCTTGCTATTTTAGAACAGCGGTGACACTTAATGGGCTAATATCATAAAATAATCAATGTTGTGTTTAAAAATGTTCATTTTCAATCATAAAAGTGTTTTTATTACTTCTTTTTGCTGACAAAAATTTCCTTAGGAATGCATCTCCATTTACATAATGGAAGTCAATAGGAAAATGGGGTTGACGAGATAGACAACTTTTCAAGGACGCACCTCTTCTGTAACCTGGGGATTACTGTAGTCTGTAAATATTTTTCACAAAGGATTTAAGAGTTGAAAACAAACATAAGCTTCCCAACACAAATTCTGTACTCAAATAAGAATACTGCACAATCTTCCCAATTTCTCAATGAACTCACTCTTTAATACTGTACTAACACACGTTTACTACCGAGCCTACCTGAGCAGCATGACGCACACAGCTACTATACTGTAGGCAAGAAGAGTTCCAATGCTCATCATGTTTACTAGTTCCTCCAACTCAAACATCATTGCCATGACACCTGTGGATTAATTGAGACAAATACAATTTAAATTAACAAACTGTTGTGTACTACAGCAGGTATCAGAGAACCCTTATACACAGATCTGTAAAGTAAACACAGGTGCAATAAATATTTAAAAACAAAAAACAAACATTACAGGCCAGATCATACAAAATTATAATCACTGCTGATGGTTAAAAAACTGTCATCATAGAAACTGAGCCAATAAAAGAAAATATCCTCTCTGGGAAAACTGTAGGACTGATCCAGACACAGTACTGTACTGTACCTCTTCTTCTGGTGGAGCTCTAAGCCAGGCAGCTCTAATAATACAATGCAATGTACAGTCAGGGTCAAAAGTCTTTAACACTTAGCAATATCTGACATCTACTTCTGAGTTATACATATATGATTGGGATATAATAATAACACTACTTGTCATCACCAATTATGCCTGAACCACAAAATGGGATAAAACTCTCCTTAATACCTAAGATCTTCGGGTACTTACATGCCAACTACTGTCAAGTGTTCAAGACTTTTGACCCCATACAATACCAAGAAGTCCATGAGTCCACTTGACATGATCTTCCAATGTCAGCCTGGGTTAACTTGTTAATCCCTGGGATAAATCAATTATCTTTAACTTTCCCCTACACTGTCAGCCTCAAATGAAGGGGCACAACACACCAACTGAAAGTCTAATAAGAGCCTTGACAATCCACCCAAACAGTCAGTTGCCACGACAATTAGTTCTGCAATATAAGAAACTAAGTGAATTCAAGTGAATATGACTCAGACCAAAATAACCTGAGCAAGCCCAGACCAAGTTCTTGCTGACTAGTGATGAAACCAAGGGAGACGGACGGGATGGTTCCCCCTGCATGACCTAGAGTCCTACCAGAATAATGGCTGCCAGGATCAATCATACACTTGTGGCGGTCATCCTCAGCATGGACAGCCATCACTACCCAGACAATTCACTTGGCATACTGAATAAATTAATACTCTACTCCCTTACTTTGTTAATGTACAAACCTGGTGTAATCTTGAATTCCATAGGAAAGGTTAACTTTCAAAATTCAGAGCCCCATATAAATATGAGACACTGTACACCCCGAGAGTCAAAACAGTGGACAACACATCCCTTGCAAGAATCATAAAATAGTGGATTGAAAATTATGGTCTAAATTGGTTAATCTTGGTCTGGACATATGGAGAGAATGAGTGGAACGGCTGGCAAAGAGAGGTAGCATAAGTGAGTTGCGAGTCTAAGAAATGACCAAAATTATATGGAAGGATAGTGAGCACATGTACACTCTCCAAAGAGTATCTTTAGGATTTTGTGTGACAATATGACACAACAGACGAAGGACTTTGACAACCCTACTGAGGCAACAGGAGTCACAGTGTTTATAGTGACCCCTCCATAAAGATATTTATTGGAGCGAGTGTATAACAGGATATCAAGTACAGTATAACCCTTTTAATCTGGACTAACTGGGGGAAAATCCAATCCATATTAAGTGAAATTCGGACAAAGCGATTTCTGGAGGGGTTTACTTAATCCGGATAGTCTGGATTAAGCGCACACGAGCACCACTTAACTCCCACGGACTATTTGTGACATTATGGACTAATTACTATGGCTTCCAAAGGCAAGACAACTTCAAAAGGAAGTCAGAGGAGGGCCAGAAGGGAGTTTAGCTTGCAGGACAAGCTAGGAGTTCTATAAGATCATGAGAAAGGTGTGTAGGTGTGCCTGCAAATGTTTTGATGGAAAAATGTAACTTGAACAAAGATAAAATGAAGAAGTCCTCTGCCTTTACCTAAGAGGTAGAGGGTCACCTCTGGCAGTATATGTGAAATAGAGTGAATCATCTATTTCTCTACCTCCCTGCAGCTGATAAAGAGCTTCTACACCATATGGGTCAGACAGGTCTTCTTTCGTGCCTACACCAGTCGTTACCCCTGAGCCTCCATTAGTGGTGATGGTGGGGGAGGACAGTGATTAACTTTATTTCAGTGCTGTGTAAATAGTGCAATGTTTAGTGTACAATGTACAACAAGTAGTAGGCAGCTATCAAACAGGGAGGTACTACTGCCTGGGAAGATATTGGAAGCATAATGCATTGTCTTATGGTAGACCCTGCTGCCATATGGCATCACAAAAATTGTGACCAAGTCCCAGGTTGCTGGTCTGACTTTCTGCCTCATTTACACACAATTGCAGGGTCTCAATTGTTTCTCTTATTATTGACAACACAACAAACATATATTATTTCTCACTTTTGATCTTTTTTCATTTTTGTATTTCTTTATGGTTCTTTGTTATTATTATTACAGTGTTGTTATTATTATTATTATCTTCATTATCTTATTATTTTATTTTCATATTCTATTTTTTATTATAAATTTAATTTACTATGAATTATTATGATTATTACAGTAAAGCCTCCAATATAATAACAACGGTTCGACCAACAACTTTTCATATTTAAGATCCCAGTTAATTTAGGACCCAATTCAATTTATGTCCTTATTTCATTCGTATTTACGACCAAAATATAATAAAATTACATTTTCATATAAATAATAACCAAATCCCGATATGTAATATAAAAAAAAAAAATACTGGCGGGCCTTTTGTTTTCATGCATCTGGAACAGGAACAGGAGAAAAACTTTCCCAGGTTTCGTACAGTATTTTTTGCATCCCTACTCAACATGACCAAGACAGCAAGTGATGGTTGTGTTGTTTCAAAAGCTAATAGAAAGTGTCAAAGCTTAGCCGGGAAACTATGTGTTAAAACGATATGAAAAAGGTGAGAGGTCTGTGGATATTATATGGAGCAAGCAATGAACATATTTTCTGAAGTGGATCCATTTACAGAACAAAGCATTAAAATTTAAATAAATGCAAATGACCTCTACATAAAGATGCATAATGAGAAAAGAAAGAAGCTGTGCAAGGTTCTTTAGACAGCTTTATTATTCGAAGGCCTAAACCATCAACTTCAGCTACACCATCAACTTCAGCTACACCATCAAATTCAGCATCATAAGCAGCTTCAACATTAACTTCAGGTTCAGTAACAGTTTCAGCACCAGCTTTATGGAAAGCTACAGCTTCAGCCAGAGTTGAACATACAGCTTCAGCCAGAGTTGAACCTGATGACTCTATCATCTGAGTAAAAACTTGCACAATATTCATTGGCTGTCCTTATGTTTTAGACTTTACCACCATTGGTGAATAGAATTTTTGTTTTACATTCGTAAATATTATTTTAAACATATATGAACAGTAAATAAGTGTTGCTTTCATATTCATATGTAGAGAAATGACGATATGTTTTCACATGTATGCACTTACTGTTCATACGTTGGCGTTCCCAATTGTCTCGCATTATTTCTTTACCATTAGTGGTTAGCTACTTCTAGTGTTCCATTTATTAACATTAAATAATATTACTTAAAACATACATACAGGTACAGTAAAAGTCCAAAAATCCGGATGCCAGAAATCCGGACTTTTCGAAAACTCAAACTTTTTTTTTTTTTTTAGCTGGCTTTTGTGTGTATGTGCGCATGCGTGAGCGCCACAGCTGCACAGCACCAACAAGCGACCACGCGGTCGCCACTTTAAAACGAGAAATCAAACTGTGACAACGTATGTAATTTTGAGTCCTACTCTTTCCATTTACAGAGTATACAGCTAGACCCCGACTTACGACTGCTTCGACTTACGACCGTCGGGACTTACGACAGCCGCAGTTGTGAGCATTTTTTTTCTCTCCAAATGACGCACGCATTTTCTATACCGAAACGTTTCCAGTTAATGTAGTCTCCATGTATAATTAGAAAATTATGGGGGCCCCATGTGCATTCAGCTGACTACATTAAAGGTTAGTGCTCAGTCACACTGTATCCATTCCTCATTATTTATTACTTTCACTGTACTGTATCCATTCCTCATTATTTATTACTTTTACTGTACTGTAGTTCATTGTAGATTTTTATTAAAAAAAAAAAAAAATTTTTTTTTTTTTATCTATGTCGGACTTACGACCATTCGGACTTACGACCTGGATTTGGGTCCCTAACCCCGTCGTAAGTCGGGGGTCTAGCTGTACTGTACAAGCCCATAATAATGGCTCCTAAAGTAGATAAACTTCGCTGTGTGAAGAGAAAGAAGAACACGTTGAAATTGAATGACAAACTTTAAATAATTAAGAAAATAGAACGTGGTGTGAGCAATATTGTTCTAATGGAAACATACGACATTGGAAAGTCTACAATTTATGATATAAAAAAGGCAAAGAATAAAATTCTACAATTCACAGCTTTTTCTTTAAAACTGCTCGTTTTGATAAATGAAGAATGCTATATTTGCTAATGAATAAACTATCAAAATATACCTGTTCATCTCTTCTTTATTCCTCCTTAAATTTGAATTTTCAAAGTACAGGTTGTACCTCTCTAGTACGGCAACCTCGGGACCTGACCGGTGCCGGACCATGGAAATTTCCGGACCATGGAAATTCACCCTTTTCCTGGACAGATAGTGACTTGCGCTTACGTTAGCACCACTTTCACTACTTCGTGGTCTCTTTGAAGACATATTGAAGGGTTAAATGTCGTACAGTAGCTTCTCAAATTTTGCGAGTTTTTAATTCAATGTTTTTTATTTGGACACACAAAAAAAACCACTACATAATTAAAAATTTTGACGGCGGAAACTCGAATTTCGATGGGTTTGAACGGCTCGCCAACGTTCAGACGACGTGCACAATCGTGAAAACAGCGTCATTTCTCTTATGTACAAAAGATTCATTATTGTTTATTACTCAATGTCTTTTTTATTGAATTAATGTTTATGTGTGCAAAATGAGCAATACAATTCATTAATACTACGTAGAATATTAAAACACACGAGGAAATGAGACAGCATTGTTTTCGTTGATTACAAAACCATGGACTGACTGGTTCTACATATAAAACAAGAAAATATGACCCTGGTTGTAGCTGTAGTAAAATTAATGTAAAAAATTAATATGGTTGTTTTAAGTAACGTTATTTAATGTTAATAAATAGAACAATATAAGTAGTAAACCATCAATGGTAAAGAAAAAAGTGAGACTGCGCGTATGTAAGTGCGCACATGTGAAAAACATATTGTCATTACTCTACATAAGAATATGAAAGCAACACTTATTTACTGTTCATATATGTTTTAATTAATGTTTCTGATTTTTTTATTGAATTAATGTTTGTGTGCAAAATGAACAATACAATTCATTAATACTACGTAGAATATTAAAACACACGAGGAAATGAGACAGCATTGTTTTCGTTGATTACAAAACCATTGACTGACTGGTTCTACATATAAAACAAGAAAATACGACCCTGGTTGTAGCTGTAGTAAAATTAATGTAAAAAATTAATATGATTGTTTGAAGATATTTGTTTTAGCTCATAAAATTCATACAAATTACCCGGCCAGAATATAATTTACATTGCTGGAATTCTTACAATTTGATGATCATTTTGAATATAAACATCATAGATTTTGCATTAGACATACAAATTTTAGATATAATGTTTACTCTGAGTAAATATGTTATCTTTTGTGCAAAATATATGACTTTTGTATTCAAAATATTCCTGGTCTTACAAGGAATCCAGTAATGTCAATTATATTATCCTAACTTTAGTTTGAGGTATTATTTATTACTATACCTGGTTTTCCCCCTAAAATTTGTCAGAGAGGGAAGAGCCAGCGAGTGTAGTGTGAGAAGAGGGGGAGGGAGTTGAGTCCATTATTTGAATGGACATAACTTGGCGACTGTATTTCTCTATTTCTCTTAAGTATTAATTGTGTGCATGTACCATCATAAAATTAAGATGTTATTTTTACTAGAACATAGGTATTGTGTTGGAAAAAGTGGAGTTTGGGGGTCGGCCCGGTCTCTATTTCATTTAATCCCATATGTTATGTCATTCACTTTACGCATTTCTCACTTTCCGCGGTACCCTGTGGGTTACATTAACCGCGTAAAGTGAGGGTTGACTGTATATATAAAAAAAAAAAAGCACCTTCATCCTCCACCACCAACACCATCAGCAACATCAACTTTGTGGTAAGCACTGTATCTCCAGTATGTAAAAAAAATAAATATATTATTCTGCAGGTTACCGATTCAAACGATTGAAAAGCAATTACTTATTTTTACCACCACGTGGGTAGAGGCAGACTACTTCACGTTAATCCAGATTAACATAAATTAGTCCAGAATGGTTTGCCAGTCCAGAAAAAAGAGTGGATTAAGAGGGTTTTACTGTAAGTACGGAGAGAAAAGGTATAAACAGTTAGCTCAGAATATGAAATAGGTTCACAAAGGGCTCTTGTTACATTACATAAACCGAAGATTTATCAATAATATATGAATGAAAATAAAACATATTACTCACCAGAGAAGAGGCCAGACAGTATAGTTGCTATGAGAGGTGTTTGAAAGCGCGTGTCGATTTTGGCTAAGAAGCGGAAAACCAATCCATCATTTGCCATGGCATAAATCACTCGGGGAAGGGGAAACATTGCCCCAAACAAACTGTGGAGGATATATATCATGTCATTAGAAACTATTAACATATAATCACTTCAATTTTCTTTTTACATTCAACCTGTTACAATATTACTTGAATACCATTAACAAATACTTCTTTCAAAAGACTGTTTAAAATAGAATGTTAATAAACCTTCATGATTCACTTTATAGTTTCATGTACCGGGTATATCATTCAGTCAAGATGCCATCCACAGGTGTGAGGGTTGGCAACCAAAGCCAACCACTCTAAATATTTTCCCACTGTTTTTTTTAACTAAACTTTCCAGACTTTTCATCTCTCCAGGGACCAGAGTTTTTAAAATCAGTCCTCCATTCAAGTCTCAGCCTTCCCCTGGCCCTCCTACCTTCAGTTGTAATTGTACTCATTACTATCTGCCATTATTCCTTCATTTAGATATGACCAAAGAATCTCAGATTAAGTTATTCTACAAACTTCCAGAATTGCCCGTTGCTCTGCTCCTTCCCATCTTTGCGAGTCTTCGTTAACTTTCTTATAAATTATCTTTACTATCCTCCTGCAGCTACATATAGTATATCAAAAGCCTCTGGTGTCTACTGATATTAATCCAGGTAATCCTTGTTTATTGCATGGGTTCTGTTCCTAATAATCCTTGGGCTGATTATTTCTATGTTCTCCCCCTCACACGTGTCTGCCAGCTCTTGTTCCTTCACTACACCTACGTCATTTAATTATGTCAAGTTTCACACACACACACACACACACACACACACACACACACACACACACACACACACACTGCAAATTTGGTGAGAAGCTTCTGCACCATCCTTGACACTGGCTCCTACTACCACCTGAGATCCCTCGCCCGAGAATTGCTGTTTGACACCACAACCGCATCCAGCCCACACGAGCATGAACTGATCGCTATAAGAACAGCCCAGTCCCAACCATTGCAAAAATTATCAATAACTTGTTATCAACCAGTGTATTCACTCCCAGTCAAATCTTACTTTTTTCAGCACACTTACACACACACACACACACACACAATACAAGTTAACATAAACACCATACCATAATGCACCATACAGTACAGTACCTTGCAGAAAATCCAAACAAAGCACCAATGCTAACAATCCATTTGGAGACATCCCACCCGAGGCGGACAAAAAGTTGCACTATTGGAGCGTCTGGGTCCTGAAACACATTGAGGAGAACAATATAGAGGAATAAGGTTACATGATTCTGATTAATGATGGTGGTTTTAACTGCCTGAATGGTTAGGAGGCTGGAGAAGAAAAAAAAATCAGTAAAGCCTCTCAATCGGGGACTTCTTCATAAGGGATATCCCCAATCAGGTAAGAGAGACACCACCACTACTACTACTATTAATACCACTGCTACTACTACTACTACTACATCCTCTTCACTTAACTGTAACAAAATCACTAGACTAGAAAGGAGATAAATAAAACTAATGTCCAGTGAGGAAGTCTTCCCCGTTAGAAGTAGGGAAAAGGAATAAACTTCATTAACCCCAACAATAAAATTTTAAAAATTATTCAAGAAATTTTGAAGGACACATTGCCAAATCCCGTGACCTGCTGGAGCTTCAGGCATAGTCCCCTGACCCTATCTGACCCAGGAATGTCCTATAGTACAATATCTGACAGTAACTGAGGCTCATCTGAAATGTAGAGCACCAGATTTGAAGGAAATTGGGAGATTTTTGAACACTGGAAAAGAAAATAAATAAAAAATAAAATAAAATAAAATCACCAATTACCAATCCCTTTGAATGGTTTATATAAACATGCATGAAAACACACACACACATTTTATAAATATACAGTAGGTATGCTTTAAATCTACAGTTTTCTTACGTACCTCTATGCAGTAAGCGAGGGCAAGTGTGAGGACTGAAGACACACAAAAGTATGCCACAAAAATTAACGTAAGAGAGAGGGCAATAGATGTAGGAATACTGCGTTGTGGGTTCAATGCTTCTTCACCTGAAACAGAAAGAATTAACTGAAATAAACATCAATGTTACTGTAAATTAAACTGTATATGTACAGTCTCGTTCAAGATTCTTCGAACACTGCTGGAGACAGCAGGCGACTCGAGGACGTTTGTTCACTATAGTACGTAGTATAATATAATGCGAAACAACAAAACCCAACCATTAATTAAGCAACGGGGAACTAAGTAACCAATCACGGATAACTTTTACATTTATTCATATTTTTTACTACGTACAGTAAAAGTCCAAAAATCCAGATGCCAGGAATCCGGACCACCCGAGAATCCGGACTTTTCGAAAACTCAAACTTTTTAAATTTAGCGGGCTTTTGTGGGTTACGTGAATGAATGGAGTTGCTTTAAAAAATAAATTTACATAATTCTAATAATAAAAGTAATTGTAAATTATAGGTAGCTAATTTTGTTAGTTTTGTAATTAGCTTGAACTGAAATGTAAAATTTGAGGCACTATAAATCTTTTGTGTGTATGTGTGCATGAGTGAATGCCACAGCTGCACAGCGACAACAAACGACCACGCGATCCCCACTTTAAAACAAGCAATCAAACTGTGACAACGTATGTAATTTTAAGTCCAACTCTTTCCATGTACAGAGTACAAGCCCATAATAATGGCCCCTAAAGTAGATAAATTTCGTTGTGTGAAGAGAAAGAAGAACACATTGAAATTGAGTGACAAACTTGAAATAATTAAGAAGCTAGAACGTGGTGTGAGCAATGCTGTTCTAATGGAAACATACGACATTGGAAAGTCTACAATTTATGATATAAAAAAGGCAAAGAATAAAATTCTAGAATTCACAGCTTCTTCTGAGCCTTACATTAAAATTGCTGAAAGAAAAAGTTTACATCGGCCAAAATTAGAAAATCTTGATAAAGTGTTGCAAGAATGGTTTTTGTTAAAACGATCAGAAGGTACCGGGTATGGCAATTTCTGGGCCGATGCTTATTGCCAAAGCAAAGTCTTTTAAGGAGCAAATGAACATTAAATCAGAGTGCGCATTTAGTGATGGATGGCTTAGGAATTTCAAGACTCGTGATGGAATTAGACAGTTTGTTTACATTTTTGTCTAGTGTTGAGTTTATTTTTCTTTAAAACTGCTCGTTTTGATATATGAAGCATGCTTTATTTGCTAATGAATAAACTATCAAAATGTACCTGTTCATCTCTTCTTTATTCCTCCTTAAATTTTAATTTTAAAAGTACTGCCTGAAAATCCGGAAAATCCGAAAATCCGGGCCGACCCAATCCCCAAGCAGTCCGGATATTTTTACATCTACTGTATTATAGTAAACAAATGGCCTTGAGTTGCCAGCTGTCTCCAGCAATGTTTGAAGAATCTTGAACGAGACTGTACCTTAAATTTACACATCCATTACCTACTCATTAGAGCATGTTTGTTATACTGTACTGTATGGTCTAATAACCATAAGCATATTGTGTACAGTATATACAGTACACTCGACTGCTGTACCAAGAATCTGAATATAAATTTTTCACATATAATAAATTTTCTGAAGAATTCTCAAACAACTGCACTGTACAGTATAATTATATACATACACAATTCTTTAATCTTATTAGAAAAATTATTAAGAACTTACCAGCTGTAGCAATGCAGTCAAAGCCAACAAAGCCAAAGAAGCATGTGGCTGCTCCCTGCATGATGCCACTGAAGCCAAAGGGAGCAAAACCCCCACTTCCCCACTTTTCCTCATTGGACTCGGTATCTTCTGAACAAGTTATATTCAGATCACTGCCGCTCAGTTGCCAGTTTTTTAAATTTGCTGCAACACATCCATAAAATAGTATATTTAATTTCACATTTATATTTACAAAAATATTTAGTGTTTTAGAGTCATCTATTCTTTTTGTTATGGATATATAGCTACTTCTTACCAAAGGTATCAATACAGTGGCCCCTCGATTAACAAGCGGTCCAATTAACGAAATTTTGGTTAACGAATTAGCTCCCATAAGGATTTTCAGTTCCATTAACGAACAAAACTTCGATTAACGAAAGCCTTACGAGAAACACGCTTTGTTGTGCACGTCAGCTTATCGGCTAGTCCGCCAATACAGTAATTGGTTCTATGTTTACATTTGTTTCCAGTGGAGTAAATATCAAGAAAGTTGTGCTCTTGAACATCTTTGCATTTTTTGTATTAAAATTATTGGTCATTCTAAAATTTAGTTAACATATTGATAATACATACAGTACAGGGAGCAGTTTTTGTGTGCCAATCAGCTGATCGAATCACCCACCAATGCTTCTCAGTTTAACTTTGTTTACAGTGGAGTGAACATCAAGTTCGTTGGTTTCTTGAATATTTTTGCATTTTTACATTAAAATTATTGGTCATTCTGAAATTTAGTTAACTTATTGGTAATATACAGTGCAGAAATTATGAAACATAAAGAAGGCATTAGAACCAATGCACTCTGTAAAGAATATGGCATGTCATCATCAACTGCCTCTGCAATCAGCTGTTTGCTACGTAAACAAAGCTGCCGGGAATACGACATACAGTCATTTCTGCTACAACGCGTGTTTTGTCAACGCAAATTGGCTATAACGTGATTGATGAATAGAAGAACGATATTTGTAAAACGCGAACGCGTGTTGGCTGTAACGCGATTCCACTCGAACGTTTGAAGTGGACTGTCGCTTGGCGCGGGGTTATGCAGTGTTTACAGTTCACGTTCGACATCACATGTTCACTTGATTCATGTGTTTTGTTTGTGAAGTGTTATTTGATAGGGACACTATAAATTTCATCCTTTTTTTGCAAATTTAGCTGTTCCCATAAATACTGTATAAAAAAATACATAAAAACAATGTTTCGCAGTGCGGACTAATAGCGTTTTACACCCTCGCTCTCTGTTTCCATCACACGATCAGTTGAAACACGTGGGTTGTTTTGAAGCATCCTCAGTGATTTTTGCTTACTATTTCTCTAATTTTGTGGTATTAATTATGTTACATTTACTGTATGATTTCATTATTAGATATAAATGTAACATTTATTTTGTGTTAGGCTAACTACTTAATTTTTTTTCAATTTCGAGTAATCTGCACCTAATCCTATTTTCTCCATAAGCCCTGTTATTTCTATTGCGCGAATTTCTACAACGCGAGGTTTTACAAGAACAAAACTATTGCATTGTAGCAAAACTGACTGTACACACCTCAAAATTAAAATACAGTACTTTATTCTATTGTTTTTTATTTATTATTGTACAGAATACTGTACAGTACAATACTGTACTGTATTTAGTTAATATTTAAGATTTTGTTAATTCTATTAGTGGTATACAGTACTTTGTATGTATACTTTTTCTGTGAGTTGGAACCAATTACCCAATATCCCATCGAAATAATAGATTAAGTTAACATAAATTTTCGGTTAACAACCGACTCTGTGGAACCAACTGTGTTCGTTAATCGAGGGACCACTGAACATATAATTAAAAGAGGATATAACTGATATATGCTCCATAAAATACACTCTGTAATGTTAACTAAGGGTGTGAGAGTGAGCATGGCAAAAAGAAATGAGTATCAACAATGGTGAAGGACTTGTGGCCAAAAGCTGCCTGTAAGAAAAGTGTTGCCAGAAATTCAACAATGTGCAGTGAGTGTGGAAGGTGGGTACACAAGAGGTTCACTGGTGTAAATGGTAAACTACAGGATGTTGCTGACTTTTAACCCATAAAGTGTCCACCATTTATGGTAGAAGTCGTCCTGTCATGTACAGATATTTTTTAAGGTGTATTTTGTTTTCAAGACAGAAAACTTGCATAATTTTGCACTCTAGGCATTTAAACTTTCCACTATACATCAATGTCTGCATGTGTCTCTGGGAACTCCACAGTGCCTCTCAGGCAAGTGAGTCAAATATGAATGTAAAATAATTTTTCTCTATTTTGCATTCATAAATATTTATTTTTTTACTAATTATTCTAAAACTCATGGGAAACTATGGAATAAATGAAAAATATAAGGTTTTACTTATTGTTTTGCCATGATGAATGTTTTTATAAGTAGAGAATTACAAGGACCAAGTGGCAGCAACAAACACCCCTTCACCATATGGCAAGACTGACTGAACATAAAATTTTTGTTTTCTTTCAATAAATTAGATTTTGTCATTGTTTTCTACCTGCTCACATAAATGTTATATATTTTATTTATTTATATAACTTTTCAAAAAAATATAACAAATTATTCATTTTAAACACTGGATCATAAAGTAACATGATAATGGCAAAACCTCTAGTCCTACACGTGTCACCACTCTCTCACGTCACCAAGCAATACAATGTTCTTTGTAAGATATGAAAGGAATATGTAGCAATGCAAAGACACTTGATTAATAGTTGTTATGACCTCTAAGCTATGTAGTGTGACATGCTAGGGTGTCTGTGTCAAGGAAACTGTGAACAAGGGAGGGACAAATATGGGCTAAGGCAGGGAGGCCAGCTCTGTCCTTCACACCCACTCCCCAACCCACTCAAGCATCTGGGACAGTTGCTACTAGTCCCATTTTAACTTATTTTGGTGTAAATCTCTCACTAGTGACCTCTGGAGATTCATAAATACAAAATGGCAGTGATGCCATAGTAACAATGCCACCCTGCCGACGGTGATGGTTAATGAGTTAAATGTACTGTGTGTGAAGATCGTCATGTGGTCCCCATCAAGGACAGAGAAGCTCAATATTGGGAACAGACCACTGGAACGTCATGATGAGTTCTTGTACCCGAGTGACACTATCAGTGCTGGAGGTGGTGCTGAAGCTAGCTAAGGTGCAAGAATCACAAGTGGCTGGAGGATGTTTTCTCATATCATCCCCATTCAAAATAAATAAAAGGAAATATTCACAAACCTTGTGTTCCAGCAGCTATGACAAAATAAATTATCGCCAGCAAATTGATGGAGGTAAACACGTTGTTCATTTGTGAGGAGTTCTTTACTCCAAGAGATAAAGCAACTGTAAATAAAGAAGAAACTTAATACAGGACACTGTCTTCAACATACAATAGCTACATCAATAACAGGCAGGAATTTACACAATATATAAGTATATGCATTAGAATCAATCATCATCATCATTGATGTCTTACCCAAGTATTTCATTTCTAGACCAAAATGACTGCCTCCTTTCTGAACATAAAGCACAGTAGGATCTCATGTTGAGCGACTAATTGGTACCGGTTTTAGCGTCGTGAAAGTTAAAATCGCGAAACGAGTGACATTGAAATACATATAAATAAGCCTAATCAGTTCTGCGGCATCACCCAGACCCCCGTATAATGACCTACAACCCACCAAGAAAATGACATCACAGTAATGTATTCATACATATTATATTGTACATATTGTTGATAACAATATTTATATACACTCATACTCTATAATAACTTACCTTGATGGAGTCAGTGAAATGCTTGACGGGGCTGGTTGATGGGGAGGGCTGGTTACTGCCCCCTCCTCTAACCTCAGCATCAAATCCCTCAAAGTCTTAAGGCAGCTCTTCCACCAGTAAGTCACCCAACACATCAATATCATCATCGGTGGTGCCATCATCATCTAAGTGATGTTTGCCAAGGCATTAACAGGCTGGGCCTTGCGCAGGTACCGAGTAATAAAGGCTGCTGACGAGCATTAACACGGGACATGTATAAGGCCTTATATTCCTCCATACCCTTATCAAGGGCAGAGCACACGAGGATGAGGCCTGGTATCGCATTCTTCTAGCTGTTCACTGAGACGTGCGATGTTTGTGAGCAACTCAGTCAGCTGGCGTGTTGTAGGCTCACCAGGCTTAACATCATCCTCTTGTGTTGGTTGCTGTTCTTCTTGTTCATCATCATCTTCCAACATTTCTTCAGTTGTCAGTTGCTGCTGATGTTGACCAACGATTTCTTGCAAATCTTCAACCTGAACATCTGAAAATCCCGGTGCTGGGATTGACTGCGTTGCCTCCACTGTGTCCATAAGTGTTGCCGCCACAGACTGCCTCTCCCTGCTTGCCTCGGTCTGCTCTGCCCCACTTATCTCAGAGTTAGCGAACAAAGTCTTCCGTGCGTGTAGCACTGTTGCAACATTAATCTTACGCCATGCCTCAACAATTCTGTCCACTGCATTTTTAATATTATATTTTTTCCAAAATTCACAAACTGATAAAACTTCACGGTTGTGGGGTGGAGCGTGTGAGGTGCTAGGAGTCAGATCATCTACTATCTCCTCCTCCTGGTTGGCTGGTAGAGCTTGGTCACTGTCAGAGAGTTCTGCCTTGATTTGTTGTAACTCAACTAATGAGTCTGTCTGCTGATGAAAGTCTTTATAGAGTGACTGATAGTAGAACAGTTTAACATTACTGATGAATTTGTGGTCAAGTGGCTGCAAAAGTGATGTGGTGTTAGGAGGAAGGAAGATAACGTGTACATTAAGGTGGCGTCCAATTAGAAACATAGAGTGTCCAGGAGCATTATCCATCACCAGGATCACTTTGAAGTCAATGTTCTTCCTCCAGCAGTACTGTTGGGTGTCAGGAACAAAGTGCTTGTCAAACCAATCGGTGCATAAAGACGTTGTAACCCCAGCTTTCTTATTAGACGTCCAATAAACATTGAGCTGCAACATATTGGCATGACGGTAGGCTCTAGGACGGGCAGCATGGCTATCAACCAGGGGTTTCATCAAGAAATCTCCACTTGCATTAGCTGTGAATAAAACTGTAATCCTATCTTTTGAAGTCTTTACACCCCTGAGGTGAACACTTCCAGAAAATACCAGTTTCGTCACAATTGAAGATCTGGTCTCGGCAATGGACACCCTCTTTCACAAGAGCTTGAAAGACAGGTGGATATTTTTCTGCTGCTATGACATCAGCCGATGCACTCTCCCCATGGTAGTGGGCAAACTTGACTTCATAACGCTTCTTAAAGGCAGCCAACCAACCAACAGAAGCATTGAACGGTGGTGGAGAGTTAATGAGTTTCTTCTGTGCAACTGCAGCGTAATAAACACATTCCTGATGCCTTATCTGTGGCCCAGACAGGTCGTCTTGCTCACGATTCTTCTTTCCACCCACTTGTGAGGGTAATGTTCTGTGATAACAAGCAGTAGGTGTCGTTGTGAGGTATCGGAGAATGTCCTGCTACTAGAAAATCTTGAGAATACTTTCACAGAAGCAGTTAAGGCTTCCTTCTTCTTCTTAAGGGAACGTATGGTTGATTCGGGGCAGTTGAACCTACGCATGATTTCACAGGTACAAGCACCACTTTTGATCATTTCAAGCATCTCTTGTTTAATTTCAAGGGTGTATTTTCTCTTCTTGACCCCCTTACGGTAGTCACGCTTGACTTGGGGCTTTCCTTGTTGACCTTCTCTACGGCCATCATTACCACCAGAACCGCTCCCGACATTTACATGACGCACTTCACTTATCGTTAATATACAAGAATCATTAATAGTTAAACAAGAATCTCGCAAAATGCAAGCACAATGGGTTATACAATTCAAGGTCACTGCACTGCTCGCTCATTCAAACTAACTGCCGTTACGCCGGAAACAAAAAACACTCGGCGGGTCGACGGTAATAGAAGACCGTGACAATGCGTGCTGTCCACTCAACAATGACTTGCAAAACTGGTAATGAAAATCGCTATTCTTGAGAGGCTGGAAATTTTAAAAGTGACGCAAAACATATGAATCGCGAATTTATAACTCACTAAACTTGAGATCCTACTGTACATAAACACTGTAAGATCAATTTCTAAGAGGTGCAAACGACATAACACTAAAAAACTGTCAAAGAACATTTGTCATATTCTTGTGAGTACAGGTATACCTCGCTATACATTGTTTGGCTTATGTATTGTTGATGAAGTACAGAAGAAATACTCTACTGTATTAAAAAAAAAATCCCCCACCTGTTATGCACTACTTTGGGTAGCCTTAGAAAGTCGAACAACTTCCAAATTCCTCCACCATGTCCCCTTCCCAGCATCAGTTTATGCATCACTGCCACATTTGCTTGATCACGTTAGTTTACAATGGGTAAAATGAGTGGAAAATGCCCAGCAAGTGATATTTGTGCCTATGGTAAACAAAAAAAAAATCTTTAAGATAAATTATATATTTTTAGGGCTTATGAAGCTGATGAACAAATTGTTGACATCACCAGACTGTTTGGCCTGCCTGCCATCATCAGTGAGTGTGATCCAAACAGTGAACGAAGCTCAACAGTTAACAAGTTAATAGCCAATAACATTAACTACTAAAAGGATCTATACAAATAATAAAGAGAAAACTGCCCAGCTGTCTTTGGACTGATATTTCCAATGTCCATCCTTAGTTGAAGAAGCAGGCAATCCTACTTTATTTTTTTTACTTTTATCCTCTTCACCACTGATCGGCTCGTTAGCCACTTGGGCGATCGGTCACGTCTCTGTCACGCACTGTTGGCAAGTACTGGGCATGCACCGGCTCCTGAATGTACCTGAACCCGCTCCAGTGTTGGTCAGGTCTGGTCTTGAAAGAGCTCACACTCGGTGCCGACACAACATTTTCTGGCAGCTTCATCTCCATAACTCCACCAGCCGGCCTCTACACACAGTTTCCTCAACTAATCTCAGGTAAGTCATTAGTTCATCTTAATGACAAACAGTGTTTATCTAAATATTTATTTTAGCTTATAATAATATACTCTAGTTATTTAAATACAGTAGTACCCCGATTTACGCGGTCAATTGAACCCACAGGGTACCGCGTAAAGTGAACAACAGAACATAGGGGATTAATTCCAATAGAGACTGGCCCGACCCCCAAACTCCACTTTTTGACGACACACAACTCTGTTGTAGTAAAAATATTATCTTAACTTTATGATGGTATGCACACACAATTAATAATTAAGAGAAATATCAATAATATTAGTTTTTTTAAGACTTACATTAGTAGAAAAGATGGCTGGGCAGATTATTGGCCCTCACCTGTATCACTTGTATCAATTGTATCACTATCCACCACATAGGCTTGCAGGGCCTCTTTGTCAAACCCCTCAAAGTCCATATAAGTCCATATCCTCACTATCACTATCACTGACTTAGGCCGGCTGTGGTGGGTGGCGGGTGAAGAACTCGGTAATGTTTTGATGAATGGGCGACCTTGTGCGCATCCTGTCCGCGCCGCTTCCCGCGTACATGAGTAGATGCACCGCGGAAAGTGAAAGTTCGGTTCTGGCGAGGCACCGCGTAAATGAGAAATCGCGGAAAGTGAAACCGCGTAAAGCGGGGTAATACTGTACAGTATTATTTGGGTAATAAAATTTTGACCACAAATGTTGCCCACAAACATAACCCCTACTTATATCAGTAGGTCTATGGTAAGCTTGTACAGTATTAACTATACTGTACATTAGTTCACTTAACGCTGCACTTTTCAAGAACACGTCTGACATACAGTGAGGTATAACGGTAAACACAGGAGGAGCATACAGGAGAGTTATGCTGACAGAACCTTTAAAACCGTTTTTAATTCAATGTTGTCTTAACTCCCCTAATAGAAGGAAAAAACTAATGATTATAACCTTGTCTGCATGACTGTTGGGTAACTTTATACTCAAACTTTCATCAAAATGTTGCTCAATTTGCTCAAGTTAACATGTTTAAGAGTGAGACACTGCTCATTGTCATGCCTTCATAAATGCTTTGTATATTTAGCTCCCTGACTACAACAACTTGATGGAGGACAATCACTAACTCCAGTCAGCCTCCACTTATCACAGCTATCAGTATAAGCTTTATTACTTCACACGAGGCCAAGTGCCCACACACCTCCATTATTCAAACATCCTTCTTCCTAATTAGTGCACACTATTGGACACCGTGAACCATGATATAGTTTGTATAATTGTAGTTTCTTTATGGTATTTAACTTTACAATCAGTAGGATCCAGATACCTCACACCTCAGCCTTTACCAAAAATTAATTTAAGAAATGGGGGCGCCGGTGGGTAGAGCAGTACCGCTCTTGCCTCGCAAGCAAGATGTCACGGGTTCGATTCCCGGGCCGGTGGAAGTTGTTCGGACACACTTCCCAGCCTCCCTTGATCCCTGTTCACCTAGCAGCAAAGTAGGTACCTGCTGTAAATCGAAAGTTGTGAATTCATATTCAGGGAAAGTTGTTGGAGCTTCCAATAACTTGCTTAGATATAAACCATTGACTCTTCAGGCTTCTACACCCTTGACTTAGCATGCTTCCCTGTTGGGTGCTGTAAACGCTTCTGCGCTTCACCTTACACAAGGATGTAGGGGGTGCCCCCAAAAAAAATAAGAAATCAAGATTCATATAATTAATTTCAAAACAGTAATGTACAACACAACATAATTAAAAATATATCAGTGAACAAGAAGGAGTCATGTAAAACTTACTTGAAAGTACAAATGAAAGGCCAAAAGCCAAGAAGTCTGGATATTCGGAGAGAAAGGGAATGTTGATGGGCATTGCCTCAGTTAATGCCTTGGACATTACTTTGCCAGTAAGTTCATTAACATAACCACTGAAGCCAGTGGCAACACTTGCTGTTCCTAAAAAACACAAATTTTATTCTAAATAAACTACAGTACAATACAACAAAAACTAATTTATATTTATCATAACTCAAGTTCATCTCTATGTTGGATCCTAGAGGACTTAGAGGTCATATACTGTATCTTGAGGTCACTTACAAAGAACCAGAAATCTTAAAATAATCTTTAATACTGTACAGACAAAACACATCTTAACCCCATCACTACTGGGACGCCACTTTTAATAACTGACTTAACTAACGCCAGAAAATTTTAGTTAGCTTATAGACGACCCATACACAGGGGGTCAAGAGTCACATGAATCCTGGCATGTATAAAATTTTAAGTCTAATTCCTAAGTACCAAATTCTATATACAGCACAGTCCACTATATAAAAAATACAGCTAGTCCTACTTACCAATTACATATTCCAAAATCAAATTCCACCCAATTACAAAGGCAACAAATTCTCCCACACACACATAGCTGTAGACATACGCAGAACCGGCCTTAGGCACACGGGCTCCAAACTCCGCATAACACAGACCTGGAGGAAAATAAATAAATATATATATTTAAGTATCCCATTACTGAACTACATCATAAATACATCTAAAGTTTCTAAGGTCTCAAAAATCTCCTTTAATAATAAATCTAATTCTAATCATCACACATTAACAATACCAAAATAGTACAAGTTAAATAAGGATTATACACTAAAGACACGAACTACTGGGAACAATGGTAATAATTTAATAACATATGGCCACACTATTACCCCTCTGTACAAAGCCTCTCTGTATTACCCCTTAACTTGGGTCCAAACTACAGTATTTTGTTTTTAAGACGTCTCAAGCGAGTCTTTCAGTTATGTTCCTAAAGTGAAACTCAAGACACACCTGCTGTACTAACAAACATACATACAGTACACACACTCATGGAGCTCATCCCTGCTGAGTTTGAGAGAGAAGATTATAACAGAGAATGATCTCTCTCTCTCTCTCTCTCTCTCTCTCTCTCTCTCTCTCTCTCTCTCTCTCTCTCTCTCTCTCTCTCTCTCTCTCTCTCTCTCTCTCTCTCTCTCTCTCTCTCTCTCTCTCTCTCTCTCTCTCTCTCTCTCTCTCTCTCTCTCTCTCTCTCTCTCTCTCTCTCTCTCTCTCTCTCTCTCTCTCTCTCTCTCTCTCTCTCTCTCTCTCTCTCTCTCTCTCTCTCTCTCTCTCTCTCTCTCTCTCTCTCTCTCTCTCTCTCTCTCTCTCTCTCTCTCTCTCTCTCTCTCTCTCTCTCTCTCTCTCTCTCTCTCTCTCTCTCTCTCTCTCTCTCTCTCTCTCTCTCTCTCTCTCTCTCTCTCTCTCTCTCTCTCTCTCTCTCTCTCTCTCTCTCTCTCTCTCTCTCTCTCTCTCTCTCTCTCTCTCTCTCTCTCTCTCTCTCTCTCTCTCTCTCTCTCTCTCTCTCTCTCTCTCTCTCTCTCTCTCTCTCTCTCTCTCTCTCTCTCTCTCTCTCTCTCTCTCTCTCTCTCTCTCTCTCTCTCTCTCTCTCTCTCTCTCTCTCTCTCTCTCTCTCTCTCTCTCTCTCTCTCTCTCTCTCTCTCTCTCTCTCTCTCTCTCTCTCTCTCTCTCTCTCTCTCTCTCTCTCTCTCTCTCTCTCTCTCTCTCTCTCTCTCTCTCTCTCTCTCTCTCTCTCTCTCTCTCTCTCTCTCTCTCTCTCTCTCTCTCTCTCGTGTCATGCCTTCAACCTTACATCTTTGTCAATCCTCTATGGTTTCTGTTGCATTTCTCTATGCAGTCTAAGACCTTAGCATTAGTACAGTATAGCTTTCATTAATCAATATATTCTTCTCTATCATTTAATTACACAAATTTATCAGACTTTATGGACAACAAGAGAAACAGTTCAAGTCATCATAAATATACGTGAGATGATAAAGAACACACAGCTGTCTTGCGTGATAATACCATAATTCTCTCTTATTTTCCTCTCATTAACTCTACACTACCAAGAGCTACTGTCATCTAGTTTAAAAAGACTAAGAAAATCTTTCTCTCTTCAAACAATAAGCACTGTACCCAACTCAACTAATCACCCATTCTGCTACACTAAAAATGTTTCACGTGCAAATGTGCAATCACGACTATACTGTTTTTTCCCCTAAATTTGAAGGGGGCAAAATGACTTCAACCCGTTCTGTACAGTAATGAGTGCTTATACTATACGTACTATATACATTTGGATATAGAAGAGAAATTCCAAAATTTATTACCAATTATTTGTAAATTCAGTATACTGTACTGTACTGTATGTTGGTACAGTAATATAAAATAATTCATAAAATTCTTATTTTAATTGGAGTTAATTTCATGTTCAGGTGCTGAGCTGCGGGTTATCCTAGTTCTCACGGAACAAACAAAATATCAATAATTTTTCTCTCCAATTTCTCCTGAAATAGTAACAGGTGAAGCCATGTAAGCAAGAGTAATACAGTAACAGTACTGTAGCAGGCTTCACAATGGCCCTGGGAGAGACTGGTCATCTGTAGTTGTGGTGGTTATTACTGTACACCCACTAAAAAATTATTCGGCACCCGTGCCGTATTGTACCATATACTGTACTGTACTCTACCTAATGAAAATCCCATAACCATTTTGTTCCCATTAAATAATTCCTTTAGAAAACCAGCCCCTGTGTTACACATGATGCCCTGCTATTACTGTACAGGTTTATTATCTTCTTATTTTTATGAACACTGTTTTCCCCTGCAGCTCCACACAACACTGCATCTGACATCAGATACTAATTTAACAGTTTAATGTTGTTTCGTTTAAAATCGCACTTTTGGGAATGTATATACAGTACAGTACACTGTATAATATTTAATGGTAACTACCTGCACATGTTTTACTAAGCTAATATAATAACCATTTGTCTTTGTTACATTACTGTATACTTGAAGATAGAGAAGAGGAAGTACAGTACTTACCAGCAAAAACTGAGGCGATGGCAGCAATGAGGAATGATATTATGACTGCTGGTCCTGCTGTCTGTTTGGCAACTTGACCAGCAAGAACATAGATGCCAACACCAATAGTCGAGCCAACACCCAAAAACGTGAGATCAATCGTAGTCAAAACTCGAGGTAGTTCTGTATTTTCAAAAGTAACAAATTTTCGTCTTGTCAGACGATCAAAAAAGTTTTTCATTGTGGAAAGAGTGTACAGTATCCACACCCAGATGACCTACATAACACAAGTCATCTGAAAAATATAAAACAAAACATAAAGATGAACTACATAAATCATCTAAAAAAGTTATTTAACATCAATATACTGTACAAGGCAATGTATCCTATCCATCCCAGACAGACAGACAAATATATTGCTATAGATAGATAGATAGATAGATAGATAGATAGATATATACTTATTCATTAAAATTATCATAAAAGTTTACAATGCTTCAGAATGTACAGTAAAAATCAAAAGTTTGCCCAAAATCCCCTGTTAACATTGTATTACTGTTTTTAACACACAGATGGCACTCTTTCCACCAACAGTTCAGAGCCGTTGATAGATAAGAGTTTGGTCAACTCAGTGATCGAACCTGATTGGCTGAGTCGGTCCCGTGACACATGGGCGCCATGTTGTTACTCAGCTGAAGAAGAAGTTTGAGTTCATACTTTAGACGATGATGATAATGATGTTTATTCAGTAAATTTGTCATACATGTTTACAATTGGATAAGCATTTTTATAAACTATGCAGTTCAGCATGAATATAGTCAATGTGGCTACTTTATACGGTATACGTAGGCCGTGGGAGTACAGTGTACAGTTTCCTGTGTGCAACAACTGTAAAATAAACAGAACTGAAACTTCACCAAAGGATATCCGGCAAAGCTGTTGGAACATAATGCTGGTTGGGGATTTTCTGCAAACTTTTGATTCTGACTGTACTGTAAAGTATCTAAAAAAAAAAAAAAGCATCTGTCCACACTGTGTGAAACATTATGAGACCATGGGTGATAGATATTGGGATTTGTGTATTCCTGTCCTGTATAGATTAACATACATAATGCAATGTGTATTTATTTTTATTTTGGTGCAATTAATATGACGTTCAGTTACCGGGACATCACGAGTTACATGTAGCATTTCACAAGTCATTGGACTCATCCTGGCAGATAGTGAACATAGACAATGCAGGTATAAAAACAATGATAAAGAGTAAATCAATTCGACCATAGATAACCCAACATAGCCATCACATAATTATTTCCATTAGGAGCCTTTGTTTAAGCTGAGGGACTAATTTAGACTATCTGAGACTAATGGATCATTTCCACAATACAACATTAATTGTTATTAAGACAGTCAAGAGCTTGCCTTGTTAGATATTTCACTGAGGTACAGTTGAGATGGTTTGTGTGTTTTCACATGATACATAAAACTCAGTCAATCTTTGGAGTTTTTTTTTATCCAAAATATATGTACCAGTCTTCTCAAGATGTAGGGATAATTTGTTGTCTCTTAGTCACTGTTAAAAATAACATCAGTTCAGATGATAACACGTTAACTATATCAGCTGCATCTTTACCTGAAAATGGCACTGTCATCAGCATACAGCAACAGTTCACAGATACTGTGTACTGTAACACCAATGAGCATGTCATATACTGTACTGTACTGTAAATTGCAAATAAAGAGTAATGGTCTTAGGGACTCCACAGGCTATCGACACGTGCAATAATAATTTGTTTCCTGTTGTTAAAATAAAACTTAAGCCAATCAACAAATCTAATGCCAATAGCCAACAATTTTTCACATACAACACAGTATCATGATCCACTGTGTTGAAGGCTTTTTGTTAATCTAATGTTACATTCATTGTGTAATTTTCACGAGTAATTTGGATCCTCATAAGGTCAGTGAGATGGATGAAGCAGGTGGCAGTTGAGTGAGAGCCTCAAAAACCTGATTGATAGCTGTACAAAATATTATAATCACAGAGATATCGTTTTACCTCAACACCTACTGTACTGTAATTTCTGAGATTTTAGATACAGTGCTGTACACAAATAACCAAGAGACATGTAGTTACTGGTATCTACACCACATCTGTCACTTTTCTTGTGGACAGATGTTACAAACTTATGGTCACCTAATAGGGTATTGGGGCTGATGGAAAACTTCATTACTGTATTAAACAAAACAGCCCCAAGGCATCATGGATGGACATACGAGATTCATGATTTGACGAACACAAGGACAGATGAATGAAAAAAATGGGTGTTGCTGGCGTCTCTTCTCCTTCATAAAGCAATGATCAACTAAATATTTTGTGATAATTTTTGTTCCCTTTTGGCATTGCCCACAACTTGTAGGGTTGTAGTCCCAAGATGATATGGGTTACCTTAGCCCAGAGCATTTACAGTAAGTCCGAGCTTAACGTCGTCCAGCTTAATGTTGTTTCGGTACTATGTTGCTAAGCTTTAGAGACCAAATTTTTTCTTAAATCCCGGTGATCCGATACTAAGTCGTTTTGCGTCGTCACAGACTACATTTTACGGTGCATCACCCGCTCTCATCTGGCCGCCCTATGCTCTCTCGGCTTGGCGCAGAGTCTCAGTGATTCACCACCCTCCTCCTCTCCCACCCTCCTCCGCTCCCATCCTCCCGCCACATTCCTACCCTACCGCCATACTCCTCCCCTCCCGCCATACTCCTCCCCTCCCGCCATACTCCTCCTCTCCCACCCTTCTCCTCCCCTCCGCCATCTCCTCTCCCATCTCCTCCTCCCCTCCCGCCATACTCCTCCCCTCCCGCCATCCTCTGCTTCACTACCCACCACACACTCACTCTACCACCTCCGCCCATCAGTGAGTACCAATACAAACTTAGTAGTTGTATATGTATGCATTATTTTCTATAGAGATGGCAATGATTTTCTGTGTATGTAATGTATTTCATGGGGCAAAGGGAGGCTCAGGAATGTAACTCCCGTATTTTATCTATTTCTTATGGGGAAAATATATCCGCTTAGCGTTGTTTCGCATAACGTCGCGTTTTTTAGGAACATAACCCCGACGTTGAGCGAGGACTTACTGTATGTAGTCAGTGGCACACTACAACAGCTGACACTCACTTCAACTTTGGCTGGCCATGAGACTGGCCCCGAGTCTCTCTTTTTATTTCTATTTATTTATCATTTCATCACTTGAGGTGGTTGGTCTGTTCTTTGTTACTGTATTATGATCTTTATTGTCCAATGTTCTCCAGTGTGACACATTTAGCATCACGCTGGAGAACACTGGGCCAGGGAGTGATCCTTGAACATAGTAGTGAGAGATAAACATATTACCACTAACACCCTTTAGTTCAGAGCCATCACCTGACCTATGGTACTACGTCATGTTTTACTGTACACATATAATGCAGTAAAGGGATTATGTAATAGAGTACAGCTGTAATTCAATCTATGTATATCTAACACATAATATACTGAAGCTGCCTCAACTAAAGCACATTAGTGAACTATGAATACAGTAGAGCATAAATCTGAAACGACCGTATGTACACACATCTATAAAAATTCCTTTTCAAAAATAAAAATATAGCTATAAATGTAATACAAAATCATAAAATCCATACAATTAACAAGCACAAATATGCATATACTGTATGACATAAGAGCAGGTACAATGATATACAAGAAGGGAACTATTACAGCCATAGTTATAACTTTCACCCCTAACACAAGTACTGTACTGAAGTAAACAACTTATAAACAATCTTAACAATTTATTATCTTTTCTTCTTATTCTTACAGCCTAAAGAGCACATTATTATCTTATCACATTGTTCAACACACCACGCTAGACCCTTGAGTACGTCATATCAAGATCACTCTCAGCTCAAGTCTCCACCACGTAAATACTACGGAAATTCCAAATTTTTTTCACATTCAATGGTTATATAGACTTGCATTACCTCTCAACGTGTAATATCTAGTCATTCTCATTTATAACCTAATCCAAAAATAACAAATTACATTTCAAGCAAACTGACAAAAACAATTCACCATAACTTCCACACACACTCTTAGGAAGAGTTAATTAACTCACTAAATAAAAAAGGTGTGTTGTGTCTGCTGTATATTACACTGTACAGTACTATATTTACTCATTTATCTCTTGAAAATCGTGCCAAGAACCATGAGCCTTATTTTGCCTAGAACCATGAACCATATTTTGCCTAAGTTATCATGTATGTACTGTACATAAACAAACCATAAATCCTGTAAATTATTAATAATTTTTGCTTACTGATGTTAATTTTAGAATGAACTTAGAATATTTTAGTTAGATATTTATTTACTTAATGAATTATTAACCCTTAAATGGTGGCCATCATTGGTGGAAGTTAGCTGTAGGGGTGGCAGGGTCTCAATTGTTTCTCTTAATTTCGACAACACAACAAACATATCCAGTGGTCCCTCGGTTAATGAACGGTTCGGTTAACAAATTACCTTTCATAAGAATCTTCAATTCGGTTAACGAACAAAAATTAGATTAACGAAATCCTTACGAACAACACGTTTTGTTGTGAACATCAGCTGATGGGCTAGTCTGCCAATTCAGTAATTTGTTCAATGTTTACATTCGTTTCCAATGGAGTAAATATCAATAAAGTTGTGCTCTTTAATATTTTTGCATGTTTATAATAAAATTATTAGTCATTTTCACATTTATTTAACATTGATAATATATGCAGTACAGGGAACTATTTTTTTGTGCGCTCATCAGATGCTTAAGTCAGCCGCAAGGCGTCAGTGGGGGTTTTGAAAACAGTGGAGTGAACATCTATTTTGTTGGCGTCTTGAATATTTTTGCATTATACATTGAAATTATTGGTCATTCTGAACTTAAGTTAACATATTGATAATATATAGCGCAGTGTTGATTTAAAGAAAATAATCTTGAATGTACAAAAAAAAAATCTTTTCCAACCTTTAAGACACTGGACCCTCTGACCATTTGAATGTTCCACCATTACTTTCCACATATTGTGGGGCCATCTCCTTAAGGTGTGCAAATGACTTTCTTTAGTCCATCAAAGTTGAGAAAGCTTATCATCCCCCATAATGTAACCTTCTACACCACCTTTTATACAGCAACCACTGGGGGAAGGTGGCCAAATGCTGTTACCGTATTCTTAAAACATTCTCCACCTCAAATATCCTTACATCACGAGGCATAA